CCAGGCGCGAATTGATGACAGCTCCGCCACGTATCATCATTAAAGTTTCCATGAAAACTAAGCAGTGCAGTATCAGACGACGATATGTACTGAGCTGCCAAAAATTCCTGCTCGGACCTCTGTACCCCAAACACAAACCAATGATAACAAGTGCGAATCCTCATCGACATTTTTGAAACTTGAACAACACAACGAACTTAACAAAAACTAAAAATTAGTAGCACGATCTTCTTAAAATTTGACGCGTTTCAATAACAATTAGAATTCGATAATGGTTCGTGTTCGAAAAGGGTACTACTTAAACCGGGTTTCCAGCAAAAGATTTTTGAAAACATTCAACAAAAACACATTACACAAAACTTTGTTTCTGAAACATGTTTCTCTACACACACCGTCTACTGCTCACGGTGGCTAGTCGTATACAAAATACACAGGACTACGTTCAAAAACTACAATCCAGGTGCAACAAATGTCAAAGGAGATTGCTCAGCTTCCATACATGTTTGGCCTAAAAACCAATAACCATGAAAAATTGTTTCCTACATTCGAAATTATATATAAATTACCGTAGAAACGAATATTATCGACGGCCACTCCTGGGACCCAATTCTCGCGGCGTAGATATTATATCGGCTTCGAGATAATATCGAAAGTAGGGATATCTATTGAAAATATCTACTGATGGTAAAAAATGCTATTCTCGTGGATTTTCGATATTCCAATGATATTATATCTATCGTAGATATTCTTTCACTGCCGAAAGCGTTCCGTTTTTCTCGATTAAGTTAATATCATAGTCTATATATAAAATAATAATATATTAGAGCAGAATTTTACAAGCAACAAAATGATATTTTATATTTTATGAATTCCAATCATATTAAATATGAGTATACATTTTTTGAGTATAAGAAATCTCAACTTTACCTAAATTGTATGCGTTTAAAATTTCAACGTTATGTATAATGAAACGTCAATATTATTTAAAATTCTCCCTTTTCAGGGAAGTTTTCACGTCATTTATTAAATCATTGACGAAAACATGAATCAACTCATCCATCGTTAATATAAACTGGTGTCGATTCTGGCACGTTTCTCTAAATCTAAACTTAAACTTGACAACAGTGTTTCTTTGTCATTCTCTATACAGAATGAAAAAGAGAGACTGATGTTAAATTTAGTTTTAAGTTTAGAGAATCACGCCAGAATCGACACCATTGTTTACCTATTTCTTTATTTACTAATTATTTATGAAGGCAGTTAACAACATCTTGAGGTAACAATAATTGGCAATGACACACGACAACACAATAAATAATAGGTAAAAAAAGTTGAAATAACAAGATTGACATGCCAAGATCGATAGATATTTATATATCGAAGGCTCTTTACCAGTCGATGTATGTCTACTGATCATCAGTAGATAAATATCTATTGCGACATGGTGAGAATAGGGCAAAAAGGTTTTCCTTCGATAAAAGCCAGATCATTCGATATATATCGAAGGTGATATAATATCTATGCCGCGAGAATTGGGCCCCTGAGAACTTCTATAAACCATATACACTGAATGATTTTGAGGTTATGTTTACAAACAGGCACATAGGTATTAGAATAATAAAAACCAAATAACTTATATAGGAAAATAGGGCAATCAAGCCAAGTACCTACCGATATTATGTATTAGATTCAGGTATATAGAGCATGTAAAATAACAGATATGTGCATGTTTTTAAAAACACGAACAGAAACTGTGTGATGATTGTGAATGAGCCACAGATTAGAGAGAATTTTTAACTCTCGTTAATCAAAGAAAGCTAAGAGCTGTAGGTTATACAGCCATATCTTCAGCAGCTTCATTATTTTTGTTATGTTTTTATTATAACCATATTTTAGATTTTTAGTGTATCACACCTTATAATGTGTTTATTTAGGTGTTTGGCAAAAAATGTACGGCAATAGACTTTATGATGTCGCCTACCATCTATATTAATTGTCTTAGCACATTTGCATGTAGTAAAAATGATAATAAAGTTGTGGATATTAATACCACCCGTGTAATAAAAAAAAAAAAATGGGTGCGTGTACTTATGTAGGCGCGTGAGAAGTTATCCTTCTTTGGCATCGTTTAAAATTAGTTTTTAATTGCATGCAAATAATTAATTACAATAAATTAATAAAAAGTCTGGAAAAGGACACAGTCAATAAAGTTCAGTTTTAATTTGAAAAAATAAATAAATAATCAAAATATTCAATTAAAATCGCTACTGAATATAATTTATTAGAACATAATTATGTGATTTGCACTTGTATGAAACTCAAATATGTATTCCGAATATACAAACTAGAAACATGTGGATAAATATTATTAATATGAATACCTATAACTGTTACTTTATTACAAAAAATAAAGATGTGGTTTTGGTTCTACTACACCAATGGTCAAGAGATGGCGCTGTAGTCTCCTGAATCGCGCTTTGGTTCCGTTGTTCCAGATTAATAAATACTTTTGATATTATAAATATGAATACCTACAACTGTTACTTTATTATAAAAAATGAAGATGTGGTTTTTGGTTCTACTACACCAATGGTCAAGAGATGGCGTTGTAGTCTCCTGAATCGCGCTTTGGTTCCGTTGTTCCAGATTAATAAATACTTTTGGTAGGCCTTCACAATGCAGTCGTTAGCACCCACTAAATAGAGATTCTATTTTGTTGGTAGATTTTCTTAATGTGCGGTAAACACAAGAGTAACAGCATGAAGTTGGTCGCTAAAGCGACCAACTTCATGCTGTTAAAATTTTGTGTTACAGTGATGCGCGCGCATCTTAAAATTTCACTCTCATCATTTTTTCATAACGCGCCTAAAGAAGTATAACTTCAAAAATATATTTTATCAATCTTTACAAAATAGATTTGTTTTGATGTTATATAAACAACCTCGATCAGTCTTTGTGAATGTTACTACACCCATAGCCAATAAAAATGATTCGTATGTTTTCCAAACCGGTAAAAATAGAAGTCCTTTTTAAAATTAATATATTATTTAAAGGTGGCCGTTAAAATCTAATGACTGTAAAATAAAGTATAAATTACGCCAAGAATTACTGTAAATGTCAATATTTTATTTGCATTTAGGCCAATTTGACCAATCTCCTTTACAAAAGTTTCGAATATGATTATCAAAATTGAATCGTCAGAATGAAAAGTTGTACTCGGAGCTTAGATACCGAGTATACCGAGTTGTCAAAAAAATAACCGATGAAAATACCCTGCCCCTAGACCCGCGTGGGAGGGATTTGTATATGTGTTTTCCTGAAAGCAAAAACATTGTCGATGCACACAAAATATATTTAGTAAAACAAAGGTTTGTGAACTGTAGACCATTTCGTTGAATAGTTATATGTTTTGGTTAATTGTTGCAGGACAAAAACGCGCTGGAGCCACGATAGGGTATTTCATTTTTCCAAAACTTTGATTATCATGTGACATTGATTTTCCTTGGAGTCTCACTAGTACAAAAGACATATAGGCCTAATTTCATGAATATTGAAGAATATTTAAAGGTTAGACATGTTGACCATCGCAGTAGTGAAATACGTTATACTGAAATGTTTTCTAATTAGGTATGTTCAGAGTTCCAAAATGGAGGTGTTATTATTAAACGAATGAAACAACCGTTTCAATATAAAATAAAAAAATATGGGTGCGTGTACTTAAGTACGCGCGTGAGAAGTTATACTTCTTTTTAATTGCATGCAGATAATTAATTACAATAAGATAATAAAAGGATTGGAAAAGGATAGTCAACGCAGTCAATAAAGTTCAGTTTTAATTTGAAAAATTTAATAAATAATCAAAATATCAATTTAAATCACTACTGAATAAAATTTATTAGCACATATAAATTTCGCATTTGTATAACATTATATTTAACACGTGTATATTTTAACACGTGTTAAGAATATAGAAACTAGAAACATGTGGATAAATATTATAAATATGAAAACAGTGATCGTGAAGCTTTTTTTCGAGACTTACGAGTAATGTGCGGTTTAGCAGCCGACTTCATGGTGTTACTTTTCTGTTACAGTGTTGCGCGCGCATCTTAAAATTTCACTCTCATCATTTTTTCATAACGCGCCCGCGGCTAACTTCATTATGTTACTTTTGTGTTACAGTGATGCGCGCGCATCTTAAAATTTCACTCTCATAATTTTTTCATAACGCGGCTAAAGAAGTATAACTTCAAAAAGCGTGAATTTAATCTAAATTTTATCCCTACCATCTAATCCAGAAAATCCTAACTAATTCTAAACAGTGTCATCTATTTTTCCGTTTTTTTAAGTTTCCGATATATTTTTTCTTTATGAAGAGTGTTGTAAATTACCATCGAGTGGTCCTGACATCCCATTTTCCGGAAGTTCCAAAGTATGTTTAATTTACTTGATAAAAAATCATTTTTAAGATAATAATTAACAGGATGACGAGATTCCGGTTCATGGGTTTCTTGGTGAGAAACGAGCGACGGAAGTACATTCGAAATGTCATCAAAAATGGAAGTTTCCTAAAAGAAGACCTGAAATTTATTACAACTACCACTTCATTATGTAGAAGGTTGAATGAATAAATAAATAATAAAAAAAATGATGTGGTGTCGTGGGACACCAGGTAGGAACGAAGTTCCTTCGGCTAATGTAGAATCGACACAAATTGCAAACTCGCTTGTATATGCGACTGTCGCGCCTGCGCACGTCTCATTTAACGGTTTTATTCCACGCACTTTTTTCCACGAATTTTTTCTTACGGTTTTACTATCACATTTTTTTCAGTTCGGTCGCGCAGCAAAATCCCTATCCCCTCCAAGCCTGCCGTAAGGAACTTTCGTTCCAAAAATATTGTCAGGACCTATAACGCCTTACATCAAACGAGGTGGATGACGTAGGCAATGTAGGTATGCAATGAAAATGGTCTATTTCAATAAAGTATATGACTTAACGAGAATTTAAATAAACAAGTTGCATGCACATCATGCCAGTCGAATATAAGTTCGCTGTGGCATTAAGCAACTGTTAGCCGATGGGCTCCAAAGAATTATCTGGAAATGCTATATGCTGGATATGCTTTTGAACACTAACCTCAATACCAACGTCAACAAACAGAATACATTACACCACGCGTATTACAACGAAATGTATATATTTTCGTGTAGTAATCGCGTCGCTTGTCGCGTTTCGGTGTAAGCTGACGCTTAATGTCGTGGGTAATACTGGGTACCCACCCAGTATCAGGCGCGGTCGCAGCCTGAAATTTTGGAGGGGGTCACTCACTACACTAATAAAAAATAGGTACCACTTATGGGAAGAGTTACCAGATTTTGAGAAATGTCTTTATATTTGGGTATAAATCATCATTACAAACTTCGATGATATAAAACATAGTAGTACTAGATGTCATTTCCAAGTTATTTTGGCCATCGTAGTTACGTAGTTCAAAAAACACCACTAAATGTCAGCAAACTATAAATTTATCGCTGTTAGGGGATAACCAGAAAGGAGATTGCTCAGCTTCCATACATGTTTGGCCTAAAAACCAATAACCATGAAAAATTGTTTCCTAGATTCGAAATTATATATAAATTACCGTAGAAACGAATATTATCGACAGCCACTCCTGAGAACTTCTATAAACCATATACACTGAATGATTTTGAGGTTATGTTTGCAAATAGGCACATAGGTATTAGAATAATAAAAACCAAATAACTTATATAGGAAAATAGGGCAATCAAGCCAAGTACCGATATTATGTATTAGATTCAGGTATATAGAGCATGTTAAATAACAGATAATTGCCTGTTTTTAAAATGCACAAGAGTAAGTTTTAAAATCATGATTATGCCATTGCGACTTTCAGAAGCAATCTTGTTTCATTTGACAAGTGTCTAACACTAATTACACTAACAAAATGCATGTCAAGGAACTGGTACCTGCTTACCTATGTTATGAGAAACATGGAACTGTTATCATAATTTTCTAAAAACCAATAGGATATTTTCTTAGTAATAATTAGGTTTATAATGGTAAAAGGTAATTCTAATGTAATAATATATTGCGTAGGTTCATGATAGTTCTGATCAATGTGTGAAATATGTATATTCCTGACATAGCCTAAATATTCTGATAAGGTAAATTAATGAAATAAAACAACTTAAGTACTTTTATGTTGCGTTTAATATTACATATCATCTACATTTTGAATTAAAATATCATCGAAATATTTTATCAATCTTTACAAAATAGATTTGTTTTGATGTTATATAAACAACCTCGATCAGTCTTTGTGAATCTTACTACACCCATAGCCAATAAAAATGATTCGTATGTTTTCCAAACCGGTAAAAATAGAAGTCCTTTTTTAAAATTAATATATTATTTAAAGGTGGCCGTTAAAATCTAATGACTGTAAAATAAAGTATAAATTACGCCAAGAATTACTGTATATGTCAATATTTTATTTGCATTTAGGCCAATTTGACCAATCTCCTTTCCTTTTATTATTTGGCAATTTTTTGAGATTTTTCAATTTGACCTTAGATTTTGGGGGGGGGGGGGGGGTCATGTCCCCTGTGACCCCCCCCTTCGGACCGCGCCTGCCCAGTATTACCTCATCTTTAAATCTAAATGGATTTTTGAAGTGAAAACTTCTTTAGCGGCATTGTATACATTTTTGGATGGGTAAAAAATGTTATACTCGCGTCATGACACGTGGGCTGATCGCATCACAGGCCACGTGTCCTGATCGTAAGACGAAAACTTTAAAATTGGAAAGGTTGTTGACTTTCAATATATTGGACGAAACATATTATAATAATAAGTCTCTATTTAGGACGTCCAGGTGGCAGGTTTATTGCGAAGAAAATGCATGTTTTTTACAAAGATGTCGCTAGGTGCGCTTAAATGAGAAATTCTGAGAGATAAACTTTTTAATGTAATATAAATTGCCATGTTTGTGTACGATAGCGCAATAAATAAATATTATATTCTACCACATAAATGATAGTACTTTTATACTGATAATTAAAGAAATTCGTGCAAAATTATTCCCTAACCATTTCAAAATATCAAAAATGCACAACGTTAATATTCAAGTTTTCACTTCTGCCGGCACTCCCGGAGTGCAACCCGGCGTTTTTTTTTCTAGTAATACTGTGTATAGATTTACTCTCATCTAGCAGTTAAATGTAATCGACTTTATTAAAAATTTAAAAGAGAAATACAGAGGTCAAGTCAATATCTCACCTATCCGATGTCTTGTGGGCTGCAAGGCACGCGCCGCCCGCCGTAGGGAAGCATCCGCCGCCCACGACGAGCTCAGTCTGCGTAACATATATATACATTTATTTAAATATCTGGGACACAATGAGGGCTATCGCGTATGAATCCGCCGCTAGAGGCGCTAGTGTAGCGTGAGGTCTCCGAAATGTCAAATGTTATTGCTTGTTGGTTGACTACGCGGGTTTATTTCTTATTAAAATAATGTTGTGAATAATTGGTAACAATTCGGCTTAATTATGGCAAATATGAGTTTTGTGGCAATGAATGTCAGTTATTAAAAATTTGAGCTTAGAAAAATGATTATGTTCCCATTTTTTCCGAATAAAACGGAACTGGGCGTCACTGTGGCATGGCCTATTATGTTTAGGATATGGTTCTTTTGTGTTAAAATACGATCTAAATGTAACCTTTGATTTCATGTGCGTATTAATAAACTTTAAAAGTTACAACTTAGGACCTCACTCAACAGTGGCGCCATCTGGTGAGACAGAAAACGGTAGCCCTCATTAATTGATTGATAAGCTTTCCGAAAACTGTTTCGAAAATGTTGTGATAAGTGTACGAATATGGGGGAGTAAATTATAATTGAATTGATTTCATTATTATTTATAATTATAATTCACAATTAATACATAAGTTTAATTTTTTCTTTTATTGTAATTGCATATTTAATTTTATTTATTTTTCTAATTTCTGAGCTAATATTAAATAAATGTCGTGTTCAGCATCAATTGGGGTGCAAGTTTTTGTAATACCATATTTTTCTATAATAATGTGTAAGTTACAATTTGTACTCTGTTGTTGTGCCATAAATAAATAAATGATATAATATTTTTGATACTACGTATGTTTTTCTAGTAATTATATTCTCGATGGTGTAGTGTTTTAGAAATATTTTAAAACTCATTTATTAAATAATTATAATTTAGAAATATGTGGATAAATATTATAAATATGAAAACAGTGATCAGAGCCGACGAGCGCGCCACTAATAGAGATTCTATTTCTTTTTTGTTGGTAGCTTTTTTTCGACATTTAATGTGCGGTTTAGCGACCAACTTCATGTTGTTACTTTTGTGTAAGAGTGATGCGCGCGTATCTCAAAACTTCACTCTCATTATTTTTTCATAACGCGCCTAAAGAAGTATAACTTCAATAAAAAACACTCACTCTAGCAGCATGTCGTCCAGTGCGGGCAGCATATCACCCAGTTGTATAGCAGCATGCAGCGCCGCCCTCACGCCATGCGAGTCCAAGGTCACCGGAGAGGTCACCTCTGCTGTCGCCTCCCCCTCCCCCTCCCCTTCGTCGTGGGTGTCCCCCGCGAGGGAAGCAATAAGGCCCGCTAAGTTGTCCGCCTGCTGTTCCTTGGCTAAATATATTGCGGCTGGGTTGTTGCCCTGAGTGTGAACAAAGATGTTTATTATTATTTAAAATTTGAATACTTGTATTGAAACAATTCTGGTAGTTTTTATATTGTAGTACAGAGGAGCAAACAAGAATTTGTGACAGTTCTGTAACGTATCACATCGTCGAAGTTTCTATGTAAACTAAGCAGCACCCCCCTGAAGATCGAACTAGTCTTTTTTATACCAAATTTGACGCGGACAAGGAGTTGTCCAAAAATCGTGCTTGAATTTCAGTACGCTGTAATGTAGGGCGGTATGGTGCAGTCTAGCGGGCAGTAGCAGCCCGCGGCGGTTGGCCCGCGCGCGGTCCACACGCCGGCCGGCCGCCCGCACCGCGCCCGTATGTGCATACCTTGTGGAGCGGCTGCAGCTGCAGCAGCGGGTGCGCGGCGGGCAGCAGCAGCGCGCGGCGGTTGGCCCGCGCGCGGTCCACACGCCGGCCGGCCGCCCGCACCGCGCCCGTATGTGCATACCTTGTGGAGCGGCTGCAGCTGCAGCAGCGGGTGCGCGGCGGGCAGCAGCAGCGCGCGGCGGTTGGCCCGCGCGCGGTCCGCACGCCGGCCGGCCGCCCGCACCGCGCCCGTATGTGCATACCTTGTGGAGCGGCTGCAGCTGCAGCAGCGGGTGCGCGGCGGGCAGCAGCAGCGCGCGGCGGTTGGCCCGCGCGCGGTCCACACGCCGGCCGGCCGCCCGCACCGCGCCCGTATGTGCATACCTTGTGGAGCGGCTGCAGCTGCAGCAGCGGGTGCGCGGCGGGCAGCAGCAGCGCGCGGCGGTTGGCCCGCGCGCGGTCCACACGCCGGCCGGCCGCCCGCACCGCGCCCGCATGTGCATACCTTGTGGAGCGGCTGCAGCTGCAGCAGCGGGTGCGCGGCGGGCAGCAGCAGCGCGCGGCGGTTGGCCCGCGCGCGGTCCACACGCCGGCCGGCCGCCCGCACCGCGCCCGTATGTGCATACCTTGTGGAGCGGCTGCAGCTGCAGCAGCGGGTGCGCGGCGGGCAGCAGCAGCGCGCGGCGGTTGGCCCGCGCGCGGTCCACACGCCGGCCGGCCGCCCGCACCGCGCCCGCCCCGGCGCCGGCCCCAGCTCGGGCCGCGTCGGCCGCCGCCACGCGCCCGCTTCGCACTTCCCGAACTAACGCGCCTACGCTCTCCACCTGATGTTATCATATTACCATTACTGATCTAAATGCATTACGAGGAATCGCAGCAGCCCAAGAATAGTTATTTATGATATCGGTTCGGTAAGTTGGTTATTACAAACGAGTAGACGAATGTAGGCCCATAACAAAATCGAGGGCTTCCCATAGTCACGAGTTTGTAAATACCGATTCCGCACGAGTATCATACAACGTTTTTCAACACATTTGCGAGAAAGCAGTACCTTTACCAAATATGGCGCCAAGTGCAAAAATTACAACTACACCATTCGTCCCTTTTTTCGTATGAAATGAAACGAATGAATAGATTAAAAACGATTCCAGCAAGGTTCGATCAAAATTTAAAAAAATCCGTAAAGGATATGCATGGCGCCATGTATGAGAGCGTGCAGTAAAAAGTTTTACCGCCCATTCATTCCATTGTATAGCCCGTAATTTTGAATTTTCGAAAAGTGTATACAACCTCCGTAAATGCATTTATTGAGCAAATGTGTTGAAAATCTATTTCTTTTATTATTATCATTTGCCATGACAACAACCACAATAAAACGATTTCAAAAAAAATATCTAATGTCGAACCTTTTAAAAATATAGTAGTAGTACCCTTACCACGAATCAATATCGAATTCGAGTCAAATGTCAAAAAATCTTGTAAGGAAATTTAAACAGCACCACAACGGACGTAAAATAAGAAATCTTCCATACAGAACTTCTTAACGTTTGACGCGAATTCAAAAATTCGGACTTTTTCCGATTATTCGGATCGGATCCAACTATTCGAATTCGACATTCGTTCGTACTAAGGGTACTAAAATAAGATAAATTAAACATATCACGTGTTTTTCAAATTTTCGTTCAAAAGACAATACTTACTCCGTTTATTTAGTCCATTCGCGTGGCAACTAGCAATCTCTTAAAATGATTAATTCAAGCATAAAGAAGTCACTTTTTGTCGATTCTTTGTCGCGCTATCCATTTATCATTTATACATAAAGATGGGTAATGCGTACGAATACCAAAGAGCACAGTTCGAAAAGATGATTTCATACGAAATGACTCGGTTATTACTGTCTCACCACCTCTCACATATAGTACACATACAGTGGAGCCCCGGTAGTCCGGCCCCTGGCTAATGCGGCACCCCCCATAATCCGACATCGTCTATTACATACAAGTATTCGCTAAATCACGATTGAACAAGTTACAACTTGTACGCACCATCACTATTGTGCTCGACGCGTAGGGTATTATATATATTGTTTTTTTTATATTTTTTTGTAAACTCTATAGCATTAATGACGTTACTTTTATAATAAAATGTAATCTTTCTATTGTGTTGTTTAATTTACTAAATTTGACATACATAACAAAGTATGGTTTGTAATCTTATCATTGGATCTGTAATTTGTCGGATTACAAGGTACTCTTTTGTAAAAGAAAAAAACGGACTATAGGGGGTTTTAGGCAGTACTCTATAATCCGACAAATTCGATAGTTCGACACTGCCCTGCAAAATGTTTGTCGGATTACCGGGGATCCACTGTATATTGAAAATGATTTCTAAATTCGAAGCCAAAATGTAAATACACTGCAAATGAGACCAAATCCACACTTCAAAACCATAAAACGAGGAGCGTCGAATTTTAGGTAAGTGTCCTTCTAAGCTAACATTAGACTATCAAACTCTCTCTTATCGCTCTAGGCTTTCAAAAACCGTAATCTAAATCTCACTTTCTCTTACGTACACAATTGACATTGAAACTTACTGCCACGACATAACGTGTTCTTTTGAAACTATCTTGGAGTTTGTTTTCTATCGTATTGCTAATTAATTACATTTGAAGCGCCTGTACTGCGTTAAGCGGGAGCACGGGGCGGGCGTCCGCTCCGCGTGTTTGTTTCATATTATTCTATAGAGCAGCGCTGCGTGAGGCGGATCTCCCGCGCAGCTCTATTCTATAAAACGACATGCACGCTGAGCGGCCGCAATCTCCCTCCCGCTTAACGCAGCGCAGGTTCTAATAGCTACAACGAAATACACCTCCGCGTCTGTTGCCCGTGCGTCACGTGATTGTCTTTTTCGTACCGTAATCAAACTCTCTCTTTCTCTTACGTACACAATTGACATTGAAACTTAATGGCACGACATAGCGTGTTCTTTTGAAATAATGTGTGCATGTTATCTGTATGTGTTATCAGATTAGCTGCAAGCCGAAAACCTTGTCTGTTTAAGTGGCAGATATCTGCCACCAGTTGAGAAAATTATTTTCATATTGTCATTTTTCATATTTTGCGTTTTATCATATTTAGTAATGGTTTTTAATTTACACCTCTAATATATAGATAAGTTTGTAGAGAAATTATTCATGATTGATTTAAGACATAAATGAAATCTGGATGTTAAGTAAAGAATCCGAATAATAAGAGGAAAATCGGCCGGAAAATCAAACAATTTTCAACATGTGAAAAACAAAATGGAGGGCTAACACAGACCAGGGGTTAAATAACTTAAGAGTGAAAAAGAGTTAAAATGAGGCATACATCATAACACACACACAAACACACGCACACACATACACATGCACGCACGCATACATACACCGGCTACATGAACAATCTTAAATATTGTCAAATTAGAAAATAAAAATAAACTGCTTATGGAAGAGCGGTGTCCCCTGACACAGGTCTTTTAGCTTAACAGACACCGATCACTGAAAATGTTTGTAGAAAAATGTTAAGAAGAAATAAAATTTTATTATTATAACTTGATGTATATATATGTATAACCAGACCCATCTTTCCCAGTGGGCACTTTGGGTAAGTGCCCAGGGCCCTGCAATCGATATGGGGCCACCTCAGATCAAATACAAAGTCCCTAGTTCCTGTTAAATCACCAAACGGAAGTCCCATAGGATCCCCATTATCCTAATATACCCAGGGCCTCCAATAGGTCAAAGACGGCACTGTGTTATACACAACATATTTTGATGCAACTTTGTCAGGCGATGCTTGTAATGCTATAAAAACGAATAATATAATAATACTAGCGGACCCGACAGACGTTGTCCTGTCTACACGTCTTTAATTTGAAAATTTGACACTGCCCTCTGTCGGATCCAATGTAAAACATTCCAAAATCAACAACTACTAATAAATTAAAAATTAATTAAAAAACATTGTCCAGCGGACAAAATTGTGAATCTAAACCATTCTCAGATCCCCTTGAACACACACAAAAAATTTCATCAAAATCGGTCCAGTCGTTTAAGAGAAGTTCAGTGACATACACACTCACAGAAGAATTATATATATAAAGATAGTAAACAGTTAATGTAACTTACCCAATGTTTGTCGATGTTGCCTTCAGGATGTAACATTTCCATGAGCGATTCTTCTACCGGTGTCACTTGTAGCGCGTACTTCTGCGCCAGCGTGCATGCCTACAAAATATACATTCACTCATTATAAACAGTGTTTTCTGTTTTGTATTATGTGAGTTTTTAGTGTTATAGTGCGATTCCAAATTAATACCGGCTGTTAATTTAGTAAAAATTGAAATATTTTTATTTTTTAAGCATTTAACCGGTAGAAAACAGTTTGTGATGATAAAAAAGTCACGAAGCAACCTGACGAAAAAATATTATAAGCTTTCATTGAACTGCAATACTTTGGTTATAATTTTTATTATTTTAAAGCATGTAACTGCTTGATGTTTAAATTTAAAGAAAATATAACTAGAAAAAAATCCACGCGTACCAGGCGGCAGACGGGACTCGAACCCGCACCCAACACTTTAACTCTGACACATTGCAACATGTTCGCTTCTATAAAGTTTTGCATGACATGATTGCTCAACCAGGATTTTGTAATTTAAAAATCAAGCGCTCTCTAGCGCGCGGACCACCACTAGCAGGGCGGTGATGGTGATGGTGATGGTGATGGTGATGCAGACGCAGCATACCTTGTGCCAGTGCTGCAGCGCGGGCAGCACGGGGCGCGAGCACGCGGCCTTGGGCGGGCGGCGCACGCGGGCGGCGGTGAGCGCGTGGGCGGAGAGGGCAGTCCCCGCCCGCAGCAGGGCGCGAGCCCCCAGGGAGCGGCGCGGTGATGGTGATGGTGATGGTGATGGTGATGGTGATGCAGACGCAGCATACCTTGTGCCAGTGCTGCAGCGCGGGCAGCACGGGGCGCGAGCACGCGGCCTTGGGCGGGCGGCGCACGCGGGCGGCGGTGAGCGCGTGGGCGGAGAGGGCAGTCCCCGCCCGCAGCAGGGCGCGAGCCCCCAGGGAGCGGCGCGGTGATGGTGATGGTGATGGTGATGGTGATGGTGATGGTGATGGTGATGGTGATGGTGATGGTGATGCAGACGCAGCATACCTTGTGCCAGTGCTGCAGCGCGGGCAGCACGGGGCGCGAGCACGCGGCCTTGGGCGGGCGGCGCACGCGGGCGGCGGTGAGCGCGTGGGCGGAGAGGGCAGTCCCCGCCCGCAGCAGGGCGCGAGCCCCAGGGAGCGGCGCGGTGATGGTGATGGTGATGGTGATGGTGATGGTGATGGTGATGGTGATGGTGATGGTGATGGTGATGGTGATGCAGACGCAGCATACCTTGTGCCAGTGCTGCAGCGCGGGCAGCACGGGGCGCGAGCACGCGGCCTTGGGCGGGCGGCGCACGCGGGCGGCGGTGAGCGCGTGGGCGGAGAGGGCAGTCCCCGCCCGCAGCAGGGCGCGAGCCCCCAGGGAGCGGCGCGGTGATGGTGATGGTGATGGTGATGGTGATGGTGATGGTGATGCAGACGCAGCATACCTTGTGCCAGTGCTGCAGCGCGGGCAGCACGGGGCGCGAGCACGCGGCCTTGGGCGGGCGGCGCACGCGGGCGGCGGTGAGCGCGTGGGCGGAGAGGGCAGTCCCCGCCCGCAGCAGGGCGCGAGCCCCCAGGGAGCGGCGCGGTGATGGTGATGGTGATGGTGATGGTGATGGTGATGGTGATGGTGATGGTGATGGTGATGGTGATGGTGATGCAGACGCAGCATACCTTGTGCCAGTGCTGCAGCGCGGGCAGCACGGGGCGCGAGCACGCGGCCTTGGGCGGGCGGCGCACGCGGGCGGCGGTGAGCGCGTGGGCGGAGAGGGCAGTCCCCGCCCGCAGCAGGGCGCGAGCCCCCAGGGAGCGGCGCGGTGATGGTGATGGTGATGGTGATGGTGATGGTGATGGTGATGGTGATGGTGATGGTGATGGTGATGCAGACGCAGCATACCTTGTGCCAGTGCTGCAGCGCGGGCAGCACGGGGCGCGAGCACGCGGCCTTGGGCGGGCGGCGCACGCGGGCGGCGGTGAGCGCGTGGGCGGAGAGGGCAGTCCCCGCCCGCAGCAGGGCGCGAGCCCCCAGGGAGCGGCGCGGTGATGGTGATGGTGATGGTGATGGTGATGGTGATGGTGATGGTGATGGTGATGGTGATGGTGATGCAGACGCAGCATACCTTGTGCCAGTGCTGCAGCGCGGGCAGCACGGGGCGCGAGCACGCGGCCTTGGGCGGGCGGCGCACGCGGGCGGCGGTGAGCGCGTGGGCGGAGAGGGCAGTCCCCGCCCGCAGCAGGGCGCGAGCCCCCAGGGAGCGGCGCGGTGATGGTGATGGTGATGGTGATGGTGATGGTGATGGTGATGGTGATGGTGATGGTGATGGTGATGGTGATGCAGACGCAGCATACCTTGTGCCAGTGCTGCAGCGCGGGCAGCACGGGGCGCGAGCACGCGGCCTTGGGCGGGCGGCGCACGCGGGCGGCGGTGAGCGCGTGGGCGGAGAGGGCAGTCCCCGCCCGCAGCAGGGCGCGAGCCCCCAGGCCGCGCCGCTCCCAAGCGCTCTCTAGCGCAAGGACCACCACTAGCAGGGCGGGGTTTGCGCCGGCGCCCCATTTCACCCTACGAATCATTAATTATATGGTCACCATCGACCGTGATGACGAGCTGTGATCGATATTCGAGTCTGACCAATCTTTTGACTCTGAATCGTTCGTTTATTACGTCTGAAGGTATGGAAGATAAATCTGTACTGTTCGGTTATTCCGCTTAGATCAGTCTGTATGTAAAGCTGTTTGCTCGGAATATTTTGACCGACGAGAGAGATCAACACGTCCACCGGTCATGTTTTAGAAGTTTGTTGAATTCTTGTATGAATCTTATTTATCTAATTGGTTAGGATGTTCGTTAATAGCAATTTGACGGATTAATCTGTGATCACGCGACATGCAAATACCGAACGTAGCTACAATAGGCTGGTTGCCTGTATTTTAAAAAGGGGTTAACAATATAATATACCTTTGACCATAAAACTAGTTATAAAATCAAAACGAATGAACTGATTTCGATGATTTAAAAAGTATATTCATTAAAAAGCTTATTGGATCATTACACTGTTGATTTTAAGTTAATTTGTACCTAGTAACGATCCTCGTTACGATTATGCCGAAAAGTTCATAAAATGTACAGTTGCTTTGGTGCGTAGTTCCATATAGTATTGTTCTACTATTTGGAATCTTATTTATGAGTATCATAAAAGCAAGATTAAAAAAAATTAAAAAAGGTTTTGTATTTTCTATCAAGACATCAGAGAAAAGATATGAACTCATCTCGTATAAAGATAAATTAGAGTATTTCGAGTTGGTTTCATTCAAGGGCGGATTCAGCTTTGGCGCCAGGGGGGAGTCATATAGCCAGCTTTGGCGTCAGGGGGGGGGGGGTCATATAGCCAGCTTTGGCGTTAGGGGGGGTCATATAGTCGTGGTATATTAAATATTGAAAGTACTTAAATAAAATCCCCCTGGGTTTGGTCCATCTGTACCCTGCCCAGGGGGGGGGGGGGGTCATGACCCCCATGACCCCCCCCCCTGGATCCGCCCGTGGTTTCATTGTCAAAACGCAGATGGATTGCTGATCAGATTTTACTGTATAAAATTCTGAGTGGTAACATTGATTGATTATCCTCAACTTCTTAATGTAATTAGTTTTAATATACCACAACTAAATTTCGACTCGTTAACTATAAATTATTTAATTTAAAAAATTCTAAAACCAATGTGGGTACGTGTGTTATAAATAGGATATAAATAAATAAATATTTCCAACACTCACACCAATTAGTCTAGCCCCAAAGTAAGCACTGTAAGGCTTGTGTTATGGGATACTAGGGTAACGGATAGAATACATATACAGTACATATATAAGTATATTTATATAGAAATACATATTAAAGAACCATGACTGGAGTACAAATGCTCTTATTCATCACACAAACATCTGCCCTCACCGGGATTTGAACCCGGGACCTCTTGAGTCGGTGACACAATGAAACCCGGTGTACAAACCACTCGACCACGGAGGTCGTCAATATTTATTTATTTATTAAAAGGCTTACCAACAATTGTAACACTTAAGCAATTACAATTAAAGACACGGAGACACTTATATCAGTGTTACAATTAATTATAGGTAAACACCACATTTACCATATCTATATCAAACAGTTGTGTTAAAATTTTACATAATATACCTTAACTTATATGTTATTTTGTCCAAAAAAGGGTCATTACAAAAACATAGGATCTAAAATCAAAAATAAATTTCTCGGGCACTCAGTCTGTCAAGTTCCTACTAATGGCTGAAGTTATTGCACTGGGACTATCAAAGTGTAAATCAATTTTATGACTAAAACCGTTCAAAATTTTACAGAATCTCGCATAAGGCGAGTTAGCGCCTAAAACAGCTCTTCTTAAAGGAGGGCAGAGAGGCGTGTTTGGCTTCCGAGGCATTCTAGAAGGAACACGCAAATTGACAAGATTTAACAGCTGTGGACATTGAATCTTGTTGCTCAAGATATTACTTAAAAATTTAGCATCCATGAGAGACCTCCGTTTTGCCAGAGAGGTAATTTTGAAAAAGCGTAGTCTATCCATATATGACTTGATTTTTCTGGCTTTGCCTACAGAATAAATTAAATGCCACAGAAATCTTTTTTGAATTCGTTCAAGGCGTAATGTATGCGTAGCATAGTGTGGTCTCCACACACTGCAATATTCCAAGATGCTACGGACTAGGCTGTTGTATAGTAATATTTTGGTATCTATGCTACTAAACGACTTACAATTCCTAAGAACAAATCCAAACATTTTGGAAGCCTTTTTAGCTATACTATCCATGTGCGAAACAAAAGTTAATTTCTTATCATAAATGACTCCAAGATCTTTAATTGTATGGACTTCTTCTACTCTGCTGTTTTTAATAGAGTAATGAGCATTTATGATGTTGTGGTTTCTTGAGAATTTAACGTGATAACATTTATTTGTATTTAAAATCATTCGATTATTGTCACACCATTTTTCGAGGCTACTTAAGTCACTTTGTAAAAGACGAGTATCCTCTTAAGTCTTAATTATCCTTAGGAACTTCAAATCGTCAGCAAACATGTAAACTCGAGAAAAGTGGAATGAATAAGGAATGTCATTCATAAAAAAATTAAATAATACCGGACCTATGTGGGAACCCTGCTGGACACCAGAAAGGATGGCACGTGATGTGGACCGATAACCATTGATAACCACAAAGAAAGATCTCCCATGCAAGTAAGAGGATATCCACTCATACAGGCTACCCGATACACCGTACCTACGCAATTTAAGCAAAAGTATTTTGTGCGATACGATGTCGAATGCCTTACTGAAGTCCGTGTATATGACATTTGAAAACCAGAATCGACAGCGTTCACTAATGTCTCAGTAATACCAAATTTGTGCTAGTGGATCTGGCATGAACAAATCCATGCTAAATATCAGTTGAATACAATTTAAGATGATTCTGGAAGTGGGGGCCAACGATAGATTCAAAATTTTTTGCAAAGCATGATAGAATCGATATGGGCCTGTAATTACGTACGTGATCTTCACTTCCAGATTTATGAACTGGCACGACCTTACTCACTTTCCATTTCAAAGGAAAAACCCCTGATTTTAATGAATCGTTGTAAATGATATGCAGTGGATATACCAATTCTGTTGCACATTTAGAAATAAGTATAGGTGGAATTCCATCCGCCCCTACACCCTTGTTACAATCTATGCTACGTAACCTCTTAAGTGAGTACTCGCTGTCCACAAATGGAACCGTTAAGGCATAACTGTCAGTATCAATTTTGCGTAGATAATCGGAATCAGCAATGTGTTCACACTCCACATCAGGAGCGTAAACTGATGAGAAGTAGCTAGCGAACATTTCACAAGCCGCAGACCCTTCAGAGGTCACAATAGTCCCATCTGTCATAGAACTTCCCTAGTTCTATATACACTCTTACCCCCCTTTTACTTTTCACATGAGTCTAAAAAAGCTTAGGGTTCTCTTTTATTCCCTCCTTCAAATGTTTTGTATAATTTTTATGACATTCATTAGCTTGTTTTTTACAACGTCTGGCGATAAGTTTTAATTCAATAGCATCCATAGGATTTTTGTATTTATTATAACGTCGTCTGACGTTGTTCTTCATGTTTAACATTTTAATTAATTTAGTGTTAATATGTGATGAACATAGTAAAATCTGTACTGGGTCCTTGGTAGGCGTTGATTCGTTTGCTGCGTCATTGATTGCATCGAGGAGGGCTTCGATATCGAGTTTCGATTGTGAAACTTGATAAATAGTTTGGTTTTATGTTTGTTCGTATACCTAGTTTAGTTTTTATCACTAATTTTGTCAGAAATAAGAGTTTAGTGTGCCTAGAACTGTTTTTGCACAATTTTATGTTATTTAATTATGTCGGGTGTAAAAATGTTGGCATGCTAAATAAAATAAATAAATACCTCTGATGCGCGGCGGTGACGAGCGCCTGCGTGCGGCCTACCGCGGCCGACAGCTTGTCCGTCCACGCGGACAGCTCGCGACCGCGCCGGGACAGCGGCGGGCCCGGGTCGGCGCTGCCTGCTACCACCTTAACATACACTTAAACGTGAAAATTCCACAAGTACCAAATATTCACAACATTATTTTATAAGAAACTAGCTGTCCCAGCGAACTTCGTACCGCCATAAAAAATAGGGGTTGGTGGTAGAAGGGTGAAAATTTAGGGTTGTATGTATTTTTGAATGATGTATCATAAAAAAATTAAAAAAAAAATATTTAAAATTAAAAAAAAAAATTAGGAGTGGATTACCCTTAACATTTAGGGGGATGAAAAATAGATGTACGGGTTTAGCCGCACATTAAACTCATATTAAGTAAGCTGCCTTGCAGCTTAAGAATAGCTAGAAGGAATTTCGACGCGGTCCGTGAGGGCCGCTGTAGCATAATTGGTCAGTGCATTCGCCCGGATTGCGAAGGGTGCGGGTTCGAGTCCCGTCTGCTGCCTGGTCCGCGTGGAATTTTTTCTAATTATATTTTCTTTAGATTTAAACATCAAGCAGTTACATGCTTTAAAATAATAAAAATTATAACTATAATTGCTATTTCTTCTTTCAAATGTTTAATACTTGTAAAAGTATTCATTTGACATTGTGGGGTTTACCTATAATGCGAAGAGATGGCGCTGCCTTGCAGCTTAAGAATAGCTAGAAGGAATTTCGACGCGGTCCGTGAGGGCCGCTGTAGCATAATTGGTCAGTGCATTCGCCCGGATTGCGAAGGGTGCGGGTTCGAGTCCCGTCTGCTGCCTGGTCCGCGTGGAATTTTTTCTAGTTATATTTTCTTTAGATTTAAACATCAAGCAGTTACATGCTTTAAAATAATAAAAATTATAATCATATTAAGTAGGTTAACGCGTCAGCAATATGACCCGCTGCGCGACTTATTACTTTATAATTTATTAATTTCATTGTTTCGCAATAATAACATATTGAATCTATAATTAGTGTCTATCCGGTAGCCTTACCAACCGCGCGTACTCACTCTTACCTTTTCACCATACGTAAACCATTCTTTCACCATTAAAGTATGGTGATAAAGGTAATGTATGGTGGCTTTAGTTTTCCTGTTTATGGACTTTGTTATAGTAGTGTAAATTATCTCAATAAACTCTCAGTAATTGTTTCCAGTGACTTTATATTTACCAATCTCTTCTCTAAAGGTGTATAACCCGTACATCTATATGGTCCTTCGATTCGTAGAAGGAACCTTTCGCGAGTGAATAATTAATTGTGATCTGAGTTGACAGTGTAGTTTGCACGGAGTTGCAATTATTGTTCGACGAGTGGTTCCTAAGTTATACCAGTGCTAAGTTCTGGCCGTACCAAGGCTGGGATACCAGGATTACAACCATTGCTGAATCTGGTCAAGGTTCAGGTTATCGAGACATCTTCTATAGCCAAGTAAGATCTTTCCTTTTTTTTAACCACTCACCATTACCATGGAGGCTTTACTGGAAACGCAAAGCCAAATTATGGCGGGTATGGATCAACTTCTGTCAAACTTCAAGAAGGACGGCCGTGACCGCAAGACACCAGATTATATAAGGAGGAAGCTGGAGATGTTGGAAAATTACTGGAGAGAATTTCAATCCAACCACGATTTATTGTGCGAATTTGAAAACCAAAACAACGCTTATTTTACAGGTAAGGAATATGAAAGAACCAACGATTTTTATATACAAACTAGGCAACTCATACAAAGTTACATGCCGGAAGACAGTAGACCATCAACATCAGTTTTGAAACCAGCAACACCATTCAAAGCGCCTTCGCACCCACGAAAACCAGAAGAAAAGAACATCAAACTCGATGAGCTGTTCCGTAAGCAGGCTAGCAACTTTAAAGCCTTTTCACGTACAGTCGCCATCATAAACATTGATGCTCTAGAAAATAAGTGGGAGTTCGACGATGCCCTCAGAAATTTGCAGTCAAGGTGGGGAGTTATCGATACAATGCACTGGGAGATAAATAGTGAACAGAGAGACGACAGCTCTACTTACGATGCATACGAGACAGAGTTTTCAAGGTACGAAAATATATTTCTCGCTATTAAAAAGGATATCAATACCAAGATGTGGTCCGTTTCACACAGGGAGAAATCTACTCCTCAAATGGAAATTCCATTCTTCACTGGTAATTACCAGCAGTGGACATCATTTAAAGATTTATTTCAAGAATCTATTCACCATAATCCGTCCCTATCCAACGCACAGAAACTCCAATTTTTAAAGAGTAAGCTGAAGGGCGAGGCGGAAAAGCTAATACAGCATTTAAATGTTTCCTCTGAAAATTACCAAATTTCATGGGACATTCTCAACCACCGTTTTAATAATAAAAAGTTGATATTCACTTCTCATCTCAACACGCTGTTGAATTTACCAGTTTTACAAGTCCAAAATGCTGTGCTTATAAAAAAGTTACATGACACAACCAATGAATGTCTACACGCTATTCAAAAAATGGGCGTTGATACCTCAACGTGGGATCCTATCATCGTTCATTTATTGGCCCAAAAGCTTGATATCGACTCACATAACGAGTATGTGGGCTCCTTAGAAAGTCCGAGAGAGCTGCCAACACTAATGGATTTTTTGAAGGTTTTGGAATCAAAGTTTACGTCTTTAGAAGCTTTTCGCCGCAAACAGGAGTCAACCAAGCATTCACAACATGAAGATTTTCGTTACAAGAGACCATATCATCAATCATCTACCAGTCACCAACAAAATAAACCATTTACCAAACCATATACTTCATACAAGACTTTGCACGTGGAGTCTAAAAGATGTCCTCGATGATGTGATGTGATGATGAATGAGCCACCGGGTGCGCGCCTCCTCCACGCGTAGCGACATAGACGCTACATGTAGTGCTAGTGCCGGTGTGCAGTGTGTTAGTGTTAAAGAGTGCGTATCTGATTCAACCAATTACAGTGAAATAAAATCTGAAGGGCCTAGTGCGTGTGATACAAAAATCGAAAGGCCCAGTGGTAGTGAAAATACAAAAAAGTGCCAAGTTCGGTTTAATACTACACCAGTGCCAAATTTCCGCACCCATTTTAGACAATCTAATTAATTTATTATTATGTACTAACAACTTATTGTTCTTTCATCTTGTTAAGCACTTCACCACATTATTATTTACTTTGCACTTTACTAATAATAGCTATAACTTTCCTTTAATTTCTATTGCATACCACTGCATTTTTCTCTCCCCCGGGAGCATGTACGGGTTTAGCCGCACATTAAACTCATATTAAGTAGGTTAACGCGTCAGCAATATGACCCGCTGCGCGACTTATTACTTTATAATTTATTAATTTCATTGTTTCGCAATAATAACATATTGAATCTATAATTAGTGTCTATCCGGTAGCCTTACCAACCGCGCGTACTCACTCTTACCTTTTCACCATACGTAAACCATTCTTTCACCATACTTTAACTTTAGTTTTCCTGTTTATGGACTTTGTTATAGTAGTGTAAATTATCTCAATAAACTCTCAGTAATTGTTTCCAGTGACTTTCTATTTACCAATCTCTTCTCTAAAGGTGTATAATCCGTACAATAGATGTTGTCCGATTCTCAGACCTACCCAATATGCACACAAAATTTCATGAGAATCGAGAGAGCCGTTTCGGAGGAGTTTAACCACAAACACCGCGACACGAGAATTTTATATATTAGATAAACCTGCGTAGTGAATCCACCAGTAATAACATTAAACATTTGAGAGATGTCACGCCACATACGCGCTTCTATCGGCGGGTTGATACGCGATAGCCGTCATCGGTATGTGGTGGTGTGAGTATGTATATAATACCTGTGGCGGCGACATCTATATGCCCCACATATATACAAAGGATGGAGGAAATCATTACTCACCATCCTTAAGAGATGGCGTTACCTGCGCTGCGATCATAATAGTATGGAAGCCTACATCGCGCAAATGAAATTCGGAGGCTAACTCTTCATATATACGATGCCCGGCCAACATCAGTCGGGCCGCGGACACCGAGCTACTAGGGATGTCGAAAGTTGAAAAAAAAATCGATATATCGATACATCGATCTTTTAAAAAATATCAATATCGGCTTCGATATATCGCGAAAAAAACATCGAAATATCGATATATACGACCAATTTTCCCAAAAATATCGTACAGTATCTTACGAAATATGACACGCGGAATAATAATGGAACGAAAATTATCTCCCTAAAATAGACCCTATTTTCGAATGATGAAAATGATTGCAGGGCCTCTCAGGTAAATGATTGCAGGGTCTCTTTCGTAAACAAGACTAGACAGTCACACACTTCGCAGAATATAATGGAAATCAGCACAACCAATTCACCAGCGAAACAGATTTACAAATAATAGACAATACGAGACTCGTTACGATTTTTCCAGATACGAATTTAGTTAGATAGTGATATGCCGCTAATGATTAAAAAAATATCGTTTTTGATACGAATTTCGATATTGGTTATTTTGTATCGATGTATCGATATATCGAATCAAAATATATCGGCAAAAAATATCGATATATTTTCAACAATATCGCCTTGGATGGTATGGTCATATCATGAGACGGAACGAAGACCATGTAGTGAGAATCGCATTAAGCTTGCCAGAACAAAAGAGAGGTAGAGGCCGCCCGCCATCGACCTGGTGGTCAAACATTGAAAGAGACCTTAAGAAAGCCCAATTGCCAAAACCGACAACCCAGGACAGATCAACCTGGCGCCGTAGAGTGAGGAGACCCGACCCCAGATAACGGGAACAGGGACGGAAGAAGAAGAAGAAAAAGAAGATATATTTTCAACAAGCCTACGAGCTACCATCACGCAGCTCGGAGGAAGATCTTCCCCTTCGGCCTTCGTACAGTACCTGTGGATGCGTGTGCGCGTGCGCGCGGGCCTGCAGTCTCGCGTGGTGCGCGGCAGTAGTGGCGCGCGCGTGGTTCCGCAGCGCGTGCGCGGCGCGGGCGGTCTGCGCGCGCGCGGCCTGCAGACGGGCGGCCAGAACGCCCGCGCGTTCCGACCGCACGCTGCTGATGCCGCCCGCCCAGCGAGCGCGCGCCTTCTCGTACAACGACTCGAGCGGAACGGTCCATGATGCGCCTGCGCAACAAACAAATATTTATTTGACATACCATCGACAAATTCACAAATTTCAATAAAGATTATAGATTTATTTATTTATTTATTTCGGTTACATGGAACACCGACAGCTTATCTTAATATACTAGAAATGAATAGTAGCAACGAGGAGCCGATTACAGGTCCTCACATCTAGACATAACTTAAAGTTATAAAGAAACTATTTGCACTGTCCGATGTAAAAAATCTCTTAAATATAGTTTTATAAATGAGGTACTTATGATAAATAACAGAATAACAAATTACGCACATGTTAAGTACATACGCTTGTCTATGGAATTAAAGTTCGGAAAAACTGTTTATTCATCATCATCATCACCAGCCTATTAATGTCCCCACTACTGGGGCACAGGCCTTCCCTATGGATGGAATAGGGAGATTGGGCCATGACCCACGCGGGCCCGGTGCGGATCGGTGGGTGCTAACGACTGCAAATGCAGCCGGGACCGACGGCTTAACGTGCCTTCCGAAGCACGGAGGAGCTAGTAAATTTTTGGTCACCCATCCGATGACCGACCACTGCGAAAGTTGCTTGACTTCAACGATCGCAGCCGAAGCGCTAGCCACCTGCGCCATCGAGCTCCTCGATTATTATTTGATCCTCCTTTATTTGACATACCATCGACAATTTCACATATTTCAATGAAGATTATAGATGCAGGGTACTGCTCGACCGTGTGAATTGCCATTGCAGGCATGTACAACATTGTCTATATGTAGATAGGTACTGATATTTCTAACAGTGACAAATTAGTGTTCGGTTTGAACGTTACCATAGAAATGATTTTTGATGGCTAGGAGTGGAGCACGAAAGTTGTAAACATCATGGCATATCTCAAATAACTTTGATATTGCATTCAAAATAGATATTGGGCGGTAGTTTTTAACGTTATTATTTTCACCTTTTTTGAAGATTGGAATGATATTAGCCTCCTTAAGCAAATCCGGAAAAACTCATGTAGCAATGGATTTAGCTTAGGATTATATTACATTTGTACTCTATTCACCTTCCTCTGACACAAAAGTTAAACAAACTATGAAAAGGTTTCTCCGTTAGGTCGTATTTTATACACATTAAAAAATCATAAATTAAAAGACCTAAAACTGCACCGATTCCCAAAGTTTCAACGCATTATAATACTACTAAATTGAAAAGTAGTGATAAAGGAAACGGTTTGCGTCGCAATGTGAAATTTTGCAATCAGTCCGGTTACCTTTTGACTCAAAGAAAGTTGAAGAGTGTATCGATACGATGCGTGTGTGGGACTTTGACGCAAAAACACATTGTATACATTACGAAACTAATTCAACGAAATATCGACTTCAGTCTGTCCAAATTTCCTTTTCTCCCTAAGCATGAATATCGAACAAAGAAGAAAATATATTTATAAAGAAAAAATATGGGTGCGTGTACTTAAGTACGCGCGTGAGAAGTTATACTTCTTTTTGGAATTATTAAAAAATAGTTTTTAATAGGCTTGTGTCAACTAGCAATAAATCGACTGGGTTACAGTTTCTAAATATGAATTATGATATACAGATAACAAAAAATAAAGCTATTTATTATAATAATTAAAGATTGTTATTATTTTTAGAAAATATATTCGAATAAAATAGGCATTTGATCACGTGACGGCAAACACCAATCAAAAAGACTGACGTCACCATGTGCAAAACATTACTTGTGGTTGCCGTTTTCATACATTTCATTGATTTCTCATTCATGTTATTGTTACTTTGATACAATTTATCAGTTTGTTTTCAGATAATTATTGAAAGGAAGCATAAAACATCGATGGAATTGGGATTTACCGAAGCATATAATAAATTGTTATTGTTTTATCAATATAATGCAATATAATTTATCCGGCTTGTATAACATTTTGATTTCATAGATTATGTTATGCAAAATACTTACATCAAAATGTTCATCACAAAATTATTCTTGTATTTGTTGATAAACAATGAATAGGCACCATCCCTCCTTGCAAGTTCTAACCATTTTTTTCGCATCTGTGGCATATAAATAATTTGCCTGGCGTTTTATGCTTGTCCTTTTATACTAGGACACTAAACAGTACTTGTAATACGATGAATTCATTTTTAACTAAATAATTTGAATAGTCGGCGTAGAGCGTATTGTTTGCTTTGCACGGTGTGACGTCATTCAAGACGCCATGACAGTCTAGAGCGTTTTCGAGGGAAATTTGTATAAGTTTTTTGAAATACAAAATACATATTGTTAATGTACTTTTTTTTTTAAATAATATTTTTTTGGGGTTAAATAACATCAAGATTTATTATTAACTACTTTTTAAAATATAGGCAACTAGCCTATTGCATGCAGATAATTAATTACAATAAGATAATAAAAGGATTGGAAAAGGAAAGTCAACGCAGTCAATAAAGTTCAGTTTTAATTTGAAAAGATTAATAAATAATCAAAATATTCAATTTAAATCACTACTGAATAAAATTTATTAGCACATATAAATTTCGCATTTGTATAACATTATAACACGTGTTAAGAATATAGATACTAGAAACATGTGGATAAATATTATAAATATGAAAACAGTGATCAGAGGCGACGAGCGTCCCAACATGTGCGACTAAGAGATCCTATTACTATTTTGTTGGAACCTTTTTTTCTGAGACTTACGAGTAATGTGCGGTTTAGCGGCCGACTTCATAGTGTTGCGCGCACATTTTAAAATTTCACTCTTATCATTTTTTCATAACGCGCCCGCGGCTAACTTCATTATGTTACTTTTGTGTTACAGTGATGCGCGCGCATCTTAAAATGTCACTCTCATAATTTTTTCATAACGCGGCTAAAGAAGTATAACTTCAAAAACTATGCTTCTTTACCTTAAGTAAACCGAGATATTAGTAAACGCACAATCAAAAAAAAAAAACAAGCAAGCATTACAATAGTCGTGAATGATCCATCATACAACGAACTATGTGTGAGAAATGCTGGTATTGATGTATTTTGTGATACTTTGTCAACATTTAAACGGAAGTTGTGTAATCTGTATCACACTGATTTTGTATAGTGTTATTAGTATTATTATTTAAATGTTAAATTCTAATTTATTAATTGAGCATTGTTTGATTAAATGTAATAATTGCAATCTTATTTAATTTTATTTTATTTAATATGTAATATTATAAGTTAAAAATCAATCCTTTAAATTGTATTTGTTAGATCATAATTATGAATGACGTCAACACTTATAATTGTTGTGTTTACAAGTAAACAACCAATATAAAATATGTATATCCATGTATGATTAACGCAATGTTAGTGTTGCTAATAAACAATAAATAAATGATGTGTAACATTTGAAACCTCACCTTATATTAGTAAAAAAAGAAATAAAACCTACTACAAAAGAAATAAGTGCGCGCCCCATATCACGAAATCCTCCCACAAATTGCAGGAAAGCGAGAGGAAACATGTTACACATCAAAAAATGCTGTTAAAAAAAATACAATCTTTTAAAAAAACTTCTGTCTATAATATAAAAATACTTAATGAAAAGAAATAGTAATGTAATGAATGTAAAATTTGTGTCAAAAAAAGAGCGAGTAAAATGACAATAAGGTGAGTAGTTACCGATCTCCTTCTGCTCCACCTCAGCGGCCAGGTCGAGCGGCGCGCGGCGCAGCAGCAGGCAGATGCAGCTGGCTAGAGCGCGGGGCCCCACGCCTAGCACGCAGCGGGACACGTATTCCGCTGTCCATCTACAGACCAACACGCATTTTTTATCTAATAATCTATATATATAAAAATGAAACCCGTTTTCCGTTGTCACGACAGAACATGAAAACGGCTTGACCGATTTGGCTGATTTTTTTTTTGTAGTTTTCTAATACTCTGTACAAGGTTCTTACGGAAAAAAAATATAAAGAAAATCTCTCAGAAAGATTGAAAAATATAACGTAACTAGCGATGGGCGTTGAATTAACGAACGGTTTAAATAGACGGTCTACGTTCAATCGACGCTTCGACGGTCTACAGTTAATTCGTTAACTAGTTTATTTATAAAAAAATATATTCAGAATCACCAGTGCATGGATGGATATAAATAATTAACATCTAACACAATTTTATAAAACAACTAGCTGACCCAGCGAACTTCGTACCGCCATTAAAAAATAGGGGTTGGTGGTAGAAAGTTGAAAATTTAGGGATGTATGTAATTTTGTATGATGTATCATAAAAAAATTATAAATTTTTTTTACCTAAAATTGAAAAAAAAATTTAGGGGATTACCCTTAACATTTAGGGGGATGAAAAATAGATGTTGTCCGATTCTCAGACCTACCCAATATGAGTTTAACCACAAACACCGCGCGACACGAGAATTTTATATATTAGATATACATCCTATTTAAGGTGACCCCAACATACAAGATAAATATATGTTTTTTTTAACATCTATAAAATAAACACAATTTTTGACAGAAGAAACATTCTTTAATTTAAAAAAACTTTTTATTTATAGTACGCGGCAAACCATAAACAAAACTTGCGCGGTAGACGTTGTAGTGTGTGAAATTGCCATTGCGCAGGCATCATGTAATTTCTTAATTATTAGCTCGGTTACAGCGCGAAATTTATGGAAGAAAATAGGTATTAAACGGTGTACTTATTTTGTGTCCAAACGCGATGATAAGTTCTTAAGATGTCTAAGAGATCTTTCTGCATAAGTGTGTATAATTTTATTTCTTTTTAACTTTGCGCTTTTTTTATAGATAAATCCGACAAATGACTGCTCCCCACCTGATGTTAAGTGACAGTGAAGTCCAGACGCGAAGATAGCTGGTACAGCAGTTCTACCTGCCGCACCAGCCATCCTCACCCTGCCGGCCTGCATGTTGCTTCTTCACACCTCTTTTAAAGGATCCCAGGTTGTAAGAGGGAGGGAACACGTGAGCGGAAAGAACATACCATTTACGGATAGTGCGACAAAGAAATGAGTCACCAAACTTCTTTGTACGCGTTGGAATTGTGGCCACAGTAAGACGGTGACAACGTAGGCCAGCTAGTTTGAATTGCAGTTTAGATTATACCTGCGCACGGGTTGCGTGAGGCTGGCGGGGTCCGGATGTGCAGTAGAGCCGGTATACCTGCGCACGGGTTGCGTGAGGCTGGCGGGGTCCGGATGTGCAGTAGAGCCGGTATACCTGCGCACGGGTTGCGTGAGGCTGGCGGGGTCCGGATGTGCAGTAGAGCCGGTATACCTGCGCACGGGTTGCGTGAGGCTGGCGGGGTCCGGATGTGCAGTAGAGCCGGTATACCTGCGCACGGGTTGCGTGAGGCTGGCGGGGTCCGGATGTGCAGTAGAGCCGGTATACCTGCGCACGGGTTGCGTGAGGCTGGCGGGGTCCGGATGTGCAGTAGAGCCGGTATACCTGCGCACGGGTTTAGTGAGGCTGGCGGGGTCCGGATGTGCAGTAGAGCCGGTATACCTGCGCACGGGTTGCGTGAGGCTGGCGGGGTCCAGATGTGCAGTAGAGCCGGTATACCTGCGCACGGGTTGCGTGAGGCTGGCGGGGTCCGGATGTGCAGTAGAGCCGGTATACCTGCGCACGGGTTTGGTGAGGCTGGCGGGGTCCGGATGTGCAGTAGAGCCGGTATACCTGTGTACGGGTTGCGTGAGGCTGGCGGGGTCCGGATGTGCAGTAGAGCCGGTATACCTGCGCACGGGTTTAGTGAGGCTGGCGGGGTCCGGATGTGCAGTAGACCCGGGTGCGGTCCCGCTGAAGGCACGCGCGGCAGCCCCCGCCAGTGCGAATACCTCGCCGGCCGCCTGCACGCGACGCACGAGGAACATGTCTTCCAGCACCGAGCGCAGCACGGAGCTCTGGAGAGTCGCCTGAACACAACACCATTACGTCGTCCTCTCATCACACATCAAACTCATTTAAATCTAAAGAAAATATAACTAGAAAAAATTCCACGCGGACCAGGCAGCAGACGGGACTCGAACCCGCCGCCGCACCCTTCGCAATCCGGGCGAATGCACGGACCGCGTCGAAATTCCTCTAGCCATTCTTAAGCTGCAAGGCAGCGCCATCTCTTTTGTCATTGTGGGTTACCTATAATGCGATAGGTAACCCACAATGTGAAATGAATGTTTTTACGAGTATTAAACATTTGAAAGAAGTAATAGCAATTATAGTTATAATTTTTATTTTTTAATGCATGTAACTCCTTGATGTTTAAATCTAAAGAAAATATAACTAGAGAAAATTTCCGGGTTCGAGTCCCGTCTGCTGCCTGGTCCGTGTGGATTTCTTTCTAGTTATATTTTCTTTAGATTTAAATATCAAGCAGTGACATGCTTTAAAAGATAAAAATTATAAACAAACTCATTTATTCAGTCTAGGCTGTGACAAGCGGTTGTGAAAATCAAATGCTACGCCATCGATTCCTAAATCTACGCCGGGAGACCTTGTACTGAGAAGAATCGGCAAGAAACTCAGCAAGGGCTATTTTTTCCTCCCGGTTTTGTTTCATATAGTGTCGTCAATTGAAAGATGGCTTCAAAAACTTTCATCACATTCATATTATTAATTAACAATAAATTAAGTATAACAAGGTACTAAGTACTTTTAAATTTAGAAGTGTCGATTCAAAAAATTTCAACCAAATTAGCAAAGTAAAACTACTTATAAGTGTATTATATTAAGCCCAAGGTGCAATATCATTGAGGAAATCTTTAACAGTATAGTAAAAGATTATTGTACGGTGAAACGTACATATTTCGCAATTTACTTTATAATTTATTTTGTTAATTTAGCGTTCTGCTTTCATTACAAGCATTACTATAATAAAAAAAGTTATTACGGGCTAATAAAGAAACAACCGAAATCATTCTCATATCAATTAATATTATTTTAAGTTCTTGTTTAGTTACCAAAATATACTTTATTATCAAGTTATCAAGTTTATCATTTTATCAGTATAGCTTCGGTACATCCCGAACATACGTTGTCCTCAATGATCAGCCTCAGTCATTATAAAACACCTTCTTATTTTTGGAATATTGCTAAGAAAGGTATTAAAAAATGCAAAAACAGGTTTGAAGCTTTGAAAGACCTTTCTTAAGTGTGCTCACTCTTTCTCTGCAGAAACATCGGTTAATGCAGTCTTTCCAGTATTCTTGTGGGTGTTGCAGAGAATTTCATCAAAAAAGTCACTTCACACTTGTTAAATTTGCTATATTTGAACGCAAGCGTAGCACCTATAGTGCTAAATAAAATCACTAAAATCCCGATATCACAAATGGACTATATCCAGCGACAAGTGCAAAGTCATTTAAGCAAATCTCCGATTTCTCTACTTTGTATATAAGATTATCTGTACCCAAAAAGTTTACGGACGGTTGCGCGGCGGGCGGGGCGGGCGCGGACAAACACCACGACACGGTAATATTATCTATACAGTATTGTGACTCGGCCCTGTCCTTGAAATAACTGCCTACGGCCGAGCGGGACGTATCCACGCGGTAGGGCTGCCCGCCTACAGCATTTTAATTTCATGTACGTAATTGAGTTTCTTTCTAGTTTTGTGATTGTAAATATTTTATTTCATATGTAAAAGAAAAATTGTTGTGAATGAATTAGGGAGTGTTACATAAAATACATGTTATTTTAAGTGTAATATTTAATAAAAAAAATATTTACGCCTCGACTGAGACGTACGAAAAGCTTTACTATTGAATTTAATTGTATAATAAATACGCATTCGTGTAAAAAGTTTAATTATTGAAGAGTTCAAGCACTTTGGGTGCTTGAACAAGCACAATATCGACTATTGCTTTTTGCCATATTAAATTATGTAGATATCTACTTAATTGAATCAAATATTCACAATACAAACGTTTAAGCACGGCTAACTGCTTAAAAACAATTGACACCGTTCGGTCGTCGCTGCGGCGCATTCGCGACTGGATGCCCACCGGGTGCCGCGCGAACTCGAGTGGCGTAGGTATGACACGCTTTCCGACCGTTTGTATGAAGATAGAATACTGTATAGATAATATTACCGTGACCACGACATATCCGCTCCCCTAGTACACATATCGGGGTCCTCGGTCCTCGAAATGTAGGTCAAGTGAAAGGTGCAAGAGTATTGTCTGTGGTTTTATTGAGTAGAGCATGCTCATTTCGCCGAGCTTTCAAGCTGAGTGAAATGGCTGAAGAGGATTCCTCACATATGGAAGGAAGGTGTCACGCCTTCCCAAAACATACGTGACAATTCAGATCAGATTCAGCTGAAATCTGACAACCGTTCCGCTGGGTTTGTACTTCCAATAAAGTCACGAAATACAACACTTCACAAATTTGCCATTTCCCTCGAAAAATACAAAATATGTAGTTGAAAAGAACACCGCTCTGAAAGATCAATCATCATCATCATCATCATCAGCCTATTAATGTCCCCACTGCTGGGGCACAGGCCTTCCCTATGGATGGAATAGGGAGGTTGGGCCATGACCCACCACGCGGGCCCAGTACGGATTGGTGGGTGCTAACGACTGCAGATGCAGCCGGGACCAACGGCTTAACGTGCCTTCCGAAGCACGAAGGAACTCGAGATAGAAGATTTTTGGTCACCCATCCAATGACCGACCACTACGAAAAATGCTTTAATTCAACGATCGCAGCCGAACGCGTTAACCACCAGCGCCATCGAGCTCCTCTGTCGTGGACAGCAAAGGAAAAGGCGGATGGGAAAACAGGTTTATTATGGAATTTTGACTATAAAATGTAACACCGAAACTGTATAAAAAAGGAGTGCAATAAAAAATAGCTGAATACTTGACATTAATAGACTAAAGAGTTAGCTCACAGATTCATAGAGAAATACATGTATATAAAAGGTGTGTATGTGACGGAGGTCTGTCCGTGACAACTCATGACCCAAAAAGTGTAACAGAAGTGAAAGATCCACAGTACCACAAAAGTGTCACAGGAAATACTATAGTAATAATAATAATAAATATTTCCAACACTCACACCAATTAGCCTAGCCCCAAAGTAAGCACTGTAAGGCTTGTGTTATGGGATGCTAGGGTAACGGATAGAATACATTAAGTATATTTATATAGAAATACACATTAAACATCCATGACTGGAGTACAAATGTTCGTGTTCATCACACAAACATCTGCCCCACCGGGATTCGAACCCGGGACCTCTCGAGTCGGCGACACCATGAAACCCGGCGTACAAACCACTCGGCCACGGAGGTCGTCTAATTATAGGTAAACACCACATTTACCATATATCAAACAGTATGTTTTAAAATTTTAATACTCACAGATAAATGCGCAGCTTCGCTCACGTGGTCCACCTTCCTCCAGGCAGGCGGTAGGGGCGCAGGGAAGGCTTGTGCCCCAGCAATGGGGACATTAATAGGCTGATAATGATACAATAACTAGCGGATGCCGGCGCCGTGACACCTCATTACTCAAAAAGTGTCACAGAAGTGAAAGATCCACAGTACCACAAAAGTGTCACAGGAAATACTCACAGATAAATGCGCAGCTTCGCTCACGTGGTCCACTTTCCTCCAGGCAGGCGGTAGGGGCGCAGGGAAGGCTTGTGCCCCAGCAATGGGGACATTAATAGGCTGATAATGATACAATAACTAGTGGATGCCGGCGCCGTGACACCTCATTACTCAAAAAGTGTCACAGAAGTGAAAGATCCACAGTACCACAAAAGTGTCACAGGAAATACTCACAGATAAATGCGCAGCTTCGCTCACGTGGTCCACTTTCCTCCAGGCAGGCGGTAGGGGCGCAGGGAAGGCTTGTGCCCCAGCAATGGGGACATTAATAGGCTGATAATGATACAATAACTAGTGGATGCCGGCGCCGTGACACCTCATTACTCAAAAAGTGTCACAGAAGTGAAAGATCCACAGTACCACAAAAGTGTCACAGGAAATACTCACAGATAAATGCGCAGCTTCGCTGACGTGGTCCACCTTCCTCCAGGCAGGCGGTAGGGGCGCAGGGAAGGCTTGTGCCCCAGCAATGGGGACATTAATAGGCTGATAATGATACAATAACTAGCGGATGCCGGCGCCGTGACACCTCATTACTCAAAAAGTGTCACAGAAGTGAAAGATCCACAGTACCACAAAAGTGTCACAGGAAATACTCACAGATAAATGCGCAGCTTCGCTCACGTGGTCCACTTTCCTCCAGGCAGGCGGTAGGGGCGCAGGGAAGGCTTGTGCCCCAGCAATGGGGACATTAATAGGCTGATAATGATACAATAACTAGTGGATGCCGGCGCCGTGACACCTCATTACTCAAAAAGTGTCACAGAAGTGAAAGATCCACAGTACCACAAAAGTGTCACAGGAAATACTCACAGATAAATGCGCAGCTTCGCTCACGTGGTCCACTTTCCTCCAGGCAGGCGGTAGGGGCGCAGGGAAGGCTTGTGCCCCAGCAATGGGGACATTAATAGGCTGATAATGATACAATAACTAGTGGATGCCGGCGCCGTGACACCTCATTACCCAAAAAGTGTCACAGAAGTGAAAGATCCACAGTACCACAAAAGTGTCACAGGAAATACTCACAGATAAATGCGCAGCTTCGCTCACGTGGTCCACTTTCCTCCAGGCAGGTGGTAGGGGCGCAGGGAAGGCTTGTGCCCCAGCAATGGGGACATTAATAGGCTGATAAAGATACAATAACTAGCGGATGCCGGCGCCGTGACACCTCATTACCCAAAAAGTGTCACAGAAGTGAAAGATCCACAGTACCACAAAAGTGTCACAGGAAATACTCACAGATAAATGCGCAGCTTCGCTGACGTGGTCCACATTCCTCCAGGCAGGCGGTAGGGGCGCAGGGAAGGCTTGTGCCCCAGCAATGGGGACATTAATAGGCTGATAATGATACAATAACTAGCGGATGCCGGCGCCGTGACACCTCATTACCCAAAAAGTGTCACAGAAGTGAAAGATCCACAGTACCACAAAAGTGTCACAGGAAATACTCACAGATAAATGCGCAGCTTCGCTCACGTGGTCCACATTCCTCCAGGCAGGCGGTAGGGGCGCAGGGAAGGCTTGTGCCCCAGCAATGGGGACATTAATAGGCTGATAATGATACAATAACTAGCGGATGCCGGCGCCGTGACACCTCATTACTCAAAATGTGTCACAGAAGTGAAAGATCCACAGTACCACAAAAGTGTCACAGGAAATACTCACAGATAAATGCGCAGCTTCGCTGACGTGGTCCACTTTCCTCCAGGCAGGCGGTAGGGGCGCAGGGAAGGCTTGTGCCCCAGCAATGGGGACATTAATAGGCTGATAATGATACAATAACTAGCGGATGCCGGCGCCGTGACACCTCATTACTCAAAAAGTGTCACAGAAGTGAAAGATCCACAGTACCACAAAAGTGTCACAGGAAATACTCACAGATAAATGCGCAGCTTCGCTGACGTGGTCCACTTTCCTCCAGGCAGGCGGTAGGGGCGCAGGGAAGGCTTGTGCCCCAGCAATGGGGACATTAATAGGCTGATAATGATACAATAACTAGCGGATGCCGGCGCCGTGACACCTCATTACTCAAAAAGTGTCACAGAAGTGAAAGATCCACAGTACCACAAAAGTGTCACAGGAAATACTCACAGATAAATGCGCAGCTTCGCTGACGTGGTCCACCTTCCTCCAGGCAGGCGGTAGGGGCGCAGGGAAGGCTTGTGCCCCAGCAATGGGGACATTAATAGGCTGATAATGATACAATAACTAGCGGATGCCGGCGCCGTGACACCTCATTACTCAAAAAGTGTCACAGAAGTGAAAGATCCACAGTACCACAAAAGTGTCACAGGAAATACTCACAGATAAATGCGCAGCTTCGCTGACGTGGTCCACCTTCCTCCAGGCAGGCGGTAGGGGCGCGGACAGATGGTCGGCCAGCTCGCGAGCGCGCAGTTCCACGGCCGCGAACAGTCCGTTGAATCCCATTAACAGCATCCGACCGCTGGATTGCGTCGCTGAACCGCCGGCAGAGAGCAGGGCTTCGTATTGGACGCGTAATTCTGCCGCCGCCGCTTGGGCACCGCTCGCCGGAGACTGAGAGATTACGATAAACTTTATAGCTTTTTTTTTATGTTATAGGGGGCATACGAGCAGACGGCTCACCTGATGGTAAGTGATCACCGTCGCCCATGGACACTTGCAACGCCAGGAGTATCACAAATGCGATGCCGGCCTTTAAGGAAGGAGTACGCTCTTTTTTTGAAGGTTCTTATACATAGCTACAACAACTTTTAAAATTAAAAGTACAAATTTTAAAGAAGAACGACAGCTAAAAACTTCTCTGCGCTAGTAAAAGTTCTATCGAAACACATAACTGTTGATCAAGTTGTTACTGTAGAAAATATAACTAGAAAAAATTCCACGCGGACTAGGCAGCAGACGGGATTCGAACCCACACCCTTCGCAATCCGGGCGAATGCACTGACCAATTATGCTACCGCGGCCCCCACGGACCGCGTCGAAATTCTTCTAGCCATTCTTAAGCTGCAAGGCAGCGCCATCTCTTCGCATTATAGGTAACCCACAATGTCAAATGAATACTTTTACAAGTATTATTTTACTTTCAAATGTTTGATGCTGCCTGGTCCGCGTGGATTTTTTTCTAGTTATATTTTCTTTAGATTTAAAAATCAAGCAGTTAGGTACATGCTCTAAAAAATAAAAATTATAAGTTATTACTGATTAGATGATCATTTAAAGAATCACATTTTGATTTGAATCTTGACAAAGCTGCTATGCTGGCGTGATAGTACAAGATCCAAAGGCCTAACCTAACTTATTTCCTCATGCAAAAAATATTGATAATTGAGTAGTTTTTTTTTATTTATTTAAAAGGCTTACCAACAATTGTAACACTTAAGCAATTATAATTATAGACACGGAGACACATATATCAATGTTACAATTAATTATAGGTAAACACCACATTTACCATATATCAAACAGTATGTTTTAAAATTTTACCTAATATACCCTAACTTATATGTTATTTTGTCCAAAAAAAGGGTCAGTACAAAAATAAAGCATCTAAAATTAAAAATAAACATCTCGGGCACTCAGTCCGTAAAGTTCCTACTAATGGCTGAAGTTACTGCACTGGGACTATCAAAGTGTAAATCAATTTTATCACTAAAGCCGTTCAGGATTATACAGAATCTCGCATAAGGAGAGTTAGCGCCTAAAACAGTTCTTCTTAAAGGAGGGCAGAGTGGCGTGATTGGCTTTGAACAATGAACGTATACATACTTGCTAACTTGACTAAGCTGTGGGTTAATTTTCAGGTATCAGGTGGCACAGGCACGTAAACATTTTACTCGCTTTACTTACAGTCTTAGGACTGATTCCTACATAATATATTGTAGAGAATAATGTAAACAAAATTTTACGTGTAAATTCTACGCGGACCAGGCGACAGACAGGACTCGAACCCGCACCCTTTGCTATCCGGTAGAATACAATGACCATTATGCTACCGCGGCCCTGATGGCCGCGTTGAAATACAACTCATTTATCCATATTTTGTCCATGAGATAATAAGTAAGGTCTAGCGGTCTTGGGATCTTAGTTTATGACAAGAATGCCGAAAACATATAAATTTTTATATGTTTTCGGCATTCTTATAATCTATGGTAATCCTGGAAGTGAATCTTACCTCCATATCCATGACCAAATATCTCAAGTGTAGTTCCAACTGCGCCAGTAGTTCGTTTAGTGGCAACGGGCTGTTCAAGATAACGGAGTTCAATTCATTAATCATCAGCAGCACCGACGGGTCCTCGGAGTGCACCTTCTTCAGCGCCTCGGGTAAAATGATCGTACTAAAATTGTAGTTCAGTTGCACTAAATCAGCCAATAAAAGGTTGGCGTTGCGCACGCATTCAACCGCTAAGGGTAGGGCGGTCTCTTCAGCTGAAGCTGCCTGCAGAGGCAGCAATGACAGCAACTCTACAGCTTGCATAGACAGTGCGCTCATATCATCCAAGAACCACTCTCCTTCTCTAGATGTTAAGTCCACAAGGCAGTCGCCCGCGCTCTGGGCTCCGTTCTCTAACATTAAAATTCTTCTGTTTAAGTTACAGAGCATACCGACAACGACGCACTCCAAAGCAACAGCTGCTCCTTCTTCCGTCCTCACCCAGTTACTTATATTAGTTTTCGCTTCGTTGTATGCTTCTTGAGCAATATTCAGTGCGTCTGGGCCACCTTCTGCTTGAAGCCTCTCGATGGCTTTATTTAGATTGGCGTTAGCCTCCGCATAGATAGCCTGTAAGCGGTAATTATATGCTACTATTTGTGCTGAGTCAGTGGTGTTTGTTTCCGAGCAAAGAGCGTTAACTTGATTGGATACTTCGCGGCATACTTCAGGCGACCTGCTTTCCAGGGCCGTCGCTAAGTATTTGCGGAACATCATGATGCGATGGTACTCTGTGTGACTCTGAGGATAGTATTGCGAGACAGCGACGTATTGCGACAGTAGTTCTAAGCAGGAGCGCACAAGGTTTTTCGTCTGTTTCGTGCATTGATTCAGTTCACTTTCAGCTTGCTCGCACTGTGTCAACATAGAACTTTGACCTGCATTGGTCAAAAACTCTTTGATGTGTTCGAATATTGGTTTCTCGTCATCCTCATTGGTTCCCGAAAATTCTTGTACCCATGCCATTAGCTGTGGCCCGTTCAAAGCTTCCGTAGTCTCTGCGAAAGCTTCTATCTGTGCGTCAAAATCTTTGAGAATCTTAACCAGGGCTTTCATCGAATCTTCTACAGCATTTTTAGCTTGTTTATAAGAGCTGTATTTTTGAGATATTGCATAAAGTGGGTGATCGCTCAGGTTGGGCCCGAAGGCCTCGATCTCTTTGATTAGTGCCATTTGTTGTTCACATTCCTGCAGTTTAGCCTCTATCGAGGAAACTTCTTCATTTTCCTTCAGCCAGTTTTCAGTCGCCTGTTTGACTTCGGGCAGGATAGCTGTGTACTGCTCCCTGTAACGAAATGGGAATCACAGATATACGCGTTGTAATAATCAGCAAGCTAGTTTCATAATTAATGAGAATGTAATGGTTCCGTCGATAATAATTAATTCATAAACAGTTGCCGGAAGTGTAATGTTCATTGGGAGCGAATGGCTTTTAGTGACACATTAACAATTATAATTCGTTAATATTATGCATGACTTTGCTTTTACACCCGAAACCATCTCAAATTGAACCTCCCACAATGTTGTTTGTAGTTTCAAATGAAAGTACTCATTATGGAAGATAATTGAGTTACAAGCTTTTCCTTTGAAAATGTGTGAGTAAATTTTACAATGCGTAAGCGTATTAAATATTTAAAATGTACTCCTGGGGCTGTGAGAAATTACTAAACAAGTAATTTCATTTAATTACAAAAGGTGTTTCTATTTATGACATTATATGTTTCGAGAATCAGAATAAAAACATACTGTACCTATTTATTTATTAAAACTTTATTGCCACAATTTACAAAATGAAAAAATTTAAATGAAACGCATGCTCTGTCATCATTCAGGAATACATAAATACGCGAATGCTTGAGTAAAAAAGTAATTAATTAATATAAACATACCATAAAAGAAAGTACTTATCTTATACTTAATAATTAAATAAACATGCGCATAAGACATATAAATGTATAAGTGTGTATATTTGTATATACATACACATATCATCGATATATTTCATATGTATGTACGTATTTATAAGACTGAAAGGGACTTCTTAAATGAGTTCAACGTTAGTGTAGAAGTCTAATCAGAAGAAATGAATGAACTTTCCTTAAAAATGTACCTATTAGGTGACTTTCTAATGGAGTCAGGGAAGCTGTTTCAGAGTGGTGAAGATTGAAGGGCAAAGGAATCAGACATATAGCCAGAGTGAAAGAGAGGTTGGGATAGAACAAGAGTCTCAGTAAAACAAAGTTGAAGGTCACGTGAATCACTGAAATCAATGAAAGCAGAAAAAAACAAAGGCGAGATAATACCACCCTGGGGTACACCGGCATTCAAACTATTCCACTTTGAAAGTTTTTGTCAGATGCGAACTGCTTGTTGACGGCCCCAGAGGTAAGATAAGAACCAATCCAGTGGCTTTGATGAGAAGTTGTAGGATTTCAGGATAGCGAGGACAATATTGTGGTCAACCATGTTAACAACCTCTCTTGCCAGTACGATCATTGTGGATTAGAGTGTGACCAGGAAGTGACAAAGATGAAGAGGCAAGACAAGGTTTTAACCAGCTTTCTGAGATTAGAAGAGATAAAAAAAAGTTCATAGCATTTAGTCATAGTGACTTTCTCATGTCAATAAAAAAACAAGGTAATTTAACATAATTATCAATAATATTAATAGATTAGTGTAATATAAAATAATACCAGTAAAAAAAGCAAAACTACATAAAACTACAAATATTATTATATGAACTTTTCACATACTAGTACAGAATATAAAGATAAATAAGAAGAGATAAAGAAACTTTTTCGCCCAGGCTGCTCGATTGGGCTTAGAAAGAGATTCTGAGGAAAGCATTGGTGTTGGTGACCCGACTTCAGCTACTGCCTACTGCAATCACCTATGTAGGTAATTACAAATAATAGTTTAAAACTTATTGACTTGTGAATACGAGTCACACTCATACTTTTAAAAATACACAAATTAATAGATACTATACAGGGTGTTACAAAAATACAAATAAAGCTTGAAGGGCGTTGAAGTACATCAAATAAGGAGTCTTCTCTAATTTTCTTAAAATATTTGCATGAAGTTTTAACTTTTTATAAAAACAGTTATTTTTAATGATTAATGAAAATATCGATCATTTTAAGATACGTCACTAGTTCGAGAATAATAAATAACTGTTTTTATAAAAAGTTAAAAATTCATGCAAATATTTTAAGTAAATTAGAGAAGACTCCTTATATGATGAACTTGAACGCCCTTCAAACTTTATTTGTATTTATGTAACACCCTGTATAGACGAAACGTTAAATTAAGTTAGGAAAATAAAGAAAAAAAGTTTTGTTTTATTGAAAGCAAATATTGCAACTCACGAACCTATTGTACGAGTATGTTGAAAAACAAAGAAATTAACTTGAATGTGAGTTTTTATTCGGTCTGTTATCTTCACGCACAGGCGCCATACATTTTCAGAGCAGTTATTCTGCACTGAAACAAAGCCTCCGTTTGTTGGCACGCAATAAACGTACTCCTGTTTGTACTGTATATTATATACGGCACATAATACCGTATCGGACATTAAAATCGCACACCATATAGGTTTTGACGGTGTATTTATGTGTGACTCGAAACGAAATATAATAAGCAGGTACTCGTATTTTAATTACGGGTTAGTAAAAATATAAACAATAATAATTAAGTTAAAATATCTCAATTCGTTAATCATATAAAGATTCTATTTTGTAAGGGCAATTAATGACTAAGAGTGGTAAAGCACAAGCACTATCGCAAAAAGTTAATAAGTACAAGGTGAATTAGAAAAAATTACACACCAGGCAGCAGTCGAGACTCGAAGCTGCACCTTTCGCTATCCGGGTGAATGCACTGACTGATTAAGGCGTTTATCAGACGACGGGGCGGAGCGGGCATTTTGTCCGCGAAGCAATAAAGACCGCGTCTGCCCGTCGATGTCTGCGGCTGCCCGCGCCGCGTACACAAAGCACACGACGGGCAGATAGTACAGTCAATCTGTAGGTTGAGTGGTGAAAAAAAAACCTAAAGGGTAAGTCTTGTTTTTTCTGTTGCCAAATGACGTCAGTAAGCCACCTTGGCGATGGGCATGTTCAACTCGTAGGCGTTTTTTAAGAACTCAAAAGAACCGTCAAAAATTTTTTGAAACGCATTTTTCTTGTTTTGTATGCATTTTAGAAACTTTTTTTTCGACCACCATTGTAGAGGGCGTTGAGAACTACAATTTATGTCATTGTTGCAATCTCGTACAACAAAAAATGCGCATTGTAGGTGGCGCTAAAGTCTCAAAAAATCATTTTAATGGAAAACTTGAAATGGCAAAGTTATTTCGTACATAATTACCAACAACTTTTGTATAAACAATTTTTTTGTATTACTTACCGTTTTCAAGTTATAAATTGCGCAGGTATAAAAAATCCAATAGAGCGGTTTTGGGCAGTTCAAGTACACATTTGCAGTGCACATTTCAATGTACGTTTTTACTAGGTTTTTTTCAATCATGAAAAAAAATAAAAAAAAACTATTTTTTTATTTTTTTTTTTTGTTTTTCAATCATGAAAAAAAATAAAAAATAGTAAAACGTACATTGAAATGTGCACTGCAAATGTGTACTTGAACTGCCCAAAACCGCTCTATTGGATTTTTCATACCAGCGCAATTTATAACTTGAAAACGGTAAGTAATACAAAAAAAAATGATTATACAAAAGTTGTTGGTAATTATGTACGAAACAACTTTGCCATTTGAAGTTTTCCATTAAAATGATATTTTCAGGGTGAAAAAGTGAAAAAACACTTTTTTGAGACTTTAGCGCCACCTACAATGCGCATTTTTTGTTGTACGAGATTGCAACAATGACATAAATTGTAGCACTCAACGCCCTCTACAATTATGGTTGAAAAAAAGTTTCTAAAATGCATACAAAACAAGAAAAATGCGTTTCAAAAAATTTTTGAGGGTTTTTTTGAGTTTTTCAAAAAACGCCTACGAGTTGAACATGCCCATTGCCAAGGTGGCTTACTGACGTCATTTGGCAACAGAAAAAACAAGACTTACCCTTTAGGTTTTTTTTTCACTGAAACGATATTTTTTTCGACAGATTGACTGTACTAAGAGGCGGTCAGTTCAGAACGTTCGTTCTAGTGAATAGTCCATCACTAATACCCGCCATACACACTACGATAAATCGTTACGATTAGACTGTACAGTCCGAACGGTACCCATAAATCGTAGCGTGTATGTTATAAAACTGCACAGTTTCCTATACTAAACGAAATCGTATAAATTGTACCGATCGAACTGTACAGTCTGATCGTAACGATTTCTCGTAGTGTGTATGGCGGGTATAAAAAGCGCGCGGCGCGGACTGAGCTGACCGCCCCGCGCCGCCGTGTGCGTTACTGCATATAAACTGGTTTGTATGATCCACGGCGGGCAGCCGCGGACTTGCCGCGCCGCCACTGCCCGCCGGGCACCCAAGGCGCGGTCTTTTTGCCCTCTGTCTGCGTTTGTAGTATAGGATTCACTTTGTGCTATTATTCGCGGCGAAATTGACCGGCCCGCCCCGCCCCGTCGTCTGCAAAGCGCCTAATACTACTACGGCCCTGATAACCGTGTCGCATTTTCTCTAGTACTTCTTAGGCTGCAAGGTAGCGCCATCTCTTCGCATTATAGGTAACCCACAATAAGGTATTCATCTGATATTGTGGGTTACCTACAATGCGACAAGATGGCGCTGCCTTACAAGCCTTGCAGTAACATTTTCTTTAGATGTTAAACATCTAGCAGTCAAAAGCTGACAAAAATCTTCTAATTTCAATGACCTTATTGGCTTAATGAAACATAAAAATATTCTCAATCATGTATAATAATTGTATTCTTTTAGCTGTCAAAGATGCACGCAGAGGATAGATGAATTTTGTTAATATGGCCACACCATCGTCTTGTCAGATTCACACTCATGGAGCAAATACAAAGGGAGGTGCTGTAAAGCGTTTACTATAAGAAATCAAGTGAAGCCACTGATAGAGGAAGCGGGGGGAGGTGCAGAATGCCAAAAGCGCCAACACGGCGAGGAGTGAAACTAAAATCAAGCAATCAATTTACAAGAAGTAAACACGACGACACACACGAGTGGGAGCCGTATCGTATCAGTGTCCACTTTTATGGACAAAATCAAAACCCGGTTGTGGAATCACTGGATAGTATGTAGTTCGTCTATTTGACGTTAGATGGAGCAATTGCTAATTTGTATTAATCGTAACATTAATACATTAACAATGAAAAAGTTATGTATTATTATGTTAAAATCACTTACGAGAAAAAAAAAGATATTTCTGTTTTTTCACTGTTCATAATGATATGCAAAACTTAATTTTGTATTTGGTACAAAAAAAAATATGTATCTCATTTATGCTAAATTTCGAAAGATATCGGAATAAATTACTTAAACGATTTAATCTTGTCCCAAGCACCGGGCAAGGATCACAGGATACAGAAAAAAAAATATTTTAATCGTTCACTTGTTTACGCAATAAAAAATGGAGTCGATATGATATCAGCGCCTCTTGCGCTGAGTAGCTAGAACTATTAAGTGACGTCAGGCGATATTGGTAGAAGGTTTGCAACCTTGCATACAGCAGCTTCTCTTTGTATTTGATCCAGGTTCACAGTTCACTTAAGCATTAGGAGCAGAGCACTATATCTCAGGTCAACTAAAGACGGTGTGGTCGCTTCCAATAAGATAACCACACCGTCACTGCCGGCAAAGAAGGCATGCATACCTTAGTGTTGTACGGGTATACCCGCAAGCTTAGGTAAGCGCACACAGGAAAGTCTCACACAACCGCGTCGCCTTGCTAGCGGGTCGTGTAAATTACTCACGTGGCGTGTCGCAGGTCGTGGCGCACCTCCTGCGCGCGCACAGCCAGCATGGCGAGCGCGGCTCGCACGTCCCGCTGCGTGCGGCGCCGCTTGCCGCCCGCGGCCGCGCCAGCGCCACCCCACTCCACCAGCGGGTCGTACACGAACAGATACTCACGTGGCGTGTCGCAGGTCGTGGCGCACCTCCTGCGCGCGCACAGCCAGCATGGCGAGCGCGGCTCGCACGTCCCGCTGCGTGCGGCGCCGCTTGCCGCCCGCGGCCGCGCCAGCGCCACCCCACTCCACCAGCGGGTCGTACACGAACAGATACTCACGTGGCGTGTCGCAGGTCGTGGCGCACCTCCTGCGCGCGCACAGCCAGCATGGCGAGCGCGGCTCGCACGTCCCGCTGCGTGCGGCGCCGCTTGCCGCCCGCGGCCGCGCCAGCGCCACCCCACTCCACCAGCGGGTCGTACACGAACAGATACTCACGTGGCGTGTCGCAGGTCGTGGCGCACCTCCTGCGCGCGCACAGCCAGCATGGCGAGCGCGGCTCGCACGTCCCGCTGCGTGCGGCGCCGCTTGCCGCCCGCGGCCGCGCCAGCGCCACCCCACTCCACCAGCGGGTCGTACACGAACAGATACTCACGTGGCGTGTCGCAGGTCGTGGCGCACCTCCTGCGCGCGCACAGCCAGCATGGCGAGCGCGGCTCGCACGTCCCGCTGCGTGCGGCGCCGCTTGCCGCCCGCGGCCGCGCCAGCGCCACCCCACTCCACCAGCGGGTCGTACACGAACAGATACTCACGTGGCGTGTCGCAGGTCGTGGCGCACCTCCTGCGCGCGCACAGCCAGCATGGCGAGCGCGGCTCGCACGTCCCGCTGCGTGCGGCGCCGCTTGCCGCCCGCGGCCGCGCCAGCGCCACCCCACTCCACCAGCGGGTCGTACACGAACAGATACTCACGTGGCGTGTCGCAGGTCGTGGCGCACCTCCTGCGCGCGCACAGCCAGCATGGCGAGCGCGGCTCGCACGTCCCGCTGCGTGCGGCGCCGCTTGCCGCCCGCGGCCGCGCCAGCGCCACCCCACTCCACCAGCGGGTCGTACACGAACAGATACTCACGTGGCGTGTCGCAGGTCGTGGCGCACCTCCTGCGCGCGCACAGCCAGCATGGCGAGCGCGGCTCGCACGTCCCGCTGCGTGCGGCGCCGCTTGCCGCCCGCGGCCGCGCCAGCGCCACCCCACTCCACCAGCGGGTCGTACACGAACAGATACTCACGTGGCGTGTCGCAGGTCGTGGCGCACCTCCTGCGCGCGCACAGCCAGCATGGCGAGCGCGGCTCGCACGTCCCGCTGCGTGCGGCGCCGCTTGCCGCCCGCGGCCGCGCCAGCGCCACCCCACTCCACCAGCGGGTCGTACACGAACAGATACTCACGTGGCGTGTCGCAGGTCGTGGCGCACCTCCTGCGCGCGCACAGCCAGCATGGCGAGCGCGGCTCGCACGTCCCGCTGCGTGCGGCGCCGCTTGCCGCCCGCGGCCGCGCCAGCGCCACCCCACTCCACCAGCGGGTCGTACACGAACAGATACTCACGTGGCGTGTCGCAGGTCGTGGCGCACCTCCTGCGCGCGCACAGCCAGCATGGCGAGCGCGGCTCGCACGTCCCGCTGCGTGCGGCGCCGCTTGCCGCCCGCGGCCGCGCCAGCGCCACCCCACTCCACCAGCGGGTCGTACACGAATGCCTCCAGCAGCGTTAGCAAGGTCTCGCGCCCGCGTCGCATAGTGCGCAACACGTGCTCGCACGCCAACCGGAATATGCCCTGCAGACAAAGCAGAAAATAAATCACTCACTATTTGCCTCTGGTTAACTACCTAAGTCTAAGATTTATGTCATATCATCACGATTAAAATAAACACTGAAAGAAACCAAACACAAACACAGCGCGCTGTAATATACAGTTCTTTCATCCGTTTATTCACTTAGCCTATAAACACGAGATACATTAACATCTTTCCTTTTACTAAAATCAAAGTACCCAGCCAAAAAATTGGCTGTCACAAATGCTACACGCAGCATAATTTTATAAAACTAATTATTTATTTATTTATTTATTCATGGAAAACAAACAGCATGTTAAAACTAAGGATAAAACGAGATGATGTAGCATTGATATGCCTTATACAGTTTTATCAAATACAACTCAAATAAAATATACTTAATCCAATCGAGGCCGTAGATTAATTTAAAACTACATAAAAATAAAAACACAGAAGTAAAAAATTAAGCATAAAGCCATACCCACAGAGAAAATGGTGATAGAAATATAAAGTAATTTAAATTAGGTTTTATTATTATTATTAAAAAATTTACTATTCACAATCTTTTTGAAATAATTTTGTTTCGCCAGGAATACGTCCACATCACTTGAATAATTATTATTGAAATTTTGTTTTACTCTATTAAAGTAGGAATTCTGTCTATATGTTGTCGAACATAAATCAGTATGGAATCGCAGATAATTGCGTCTGGCAACTGTACGGAATGGTACCTGGATTTTAACCAATGATAGCAGCTCATTACTGTCTATCTTGCCGAGAATTAAGTTGTGGAAAAATGTTAAGTCCGCAGCTTCTCTACGCTTACTTAATGGAAGAAGATGGTGTCGTTGGCAGTTAACAATATAATTTGGACCTGGATTTAACCCAAATTTGAAGTTTAAAAAATTCAGGAACTTTTTTTTGGATCTTTTCTAATTGATTAATATAAAAATCATAGTGAGGATTCCAGACCTGGGATGCGTATTCCAGGTGACTTCTTACCAAAGAGCAATATAATTTTTTTAATGATTTTGCTATTTTAAAATCTGTGGTTGATCTGAAGATAAACCATAACATTTTCATGGCTTTTGATGTTCTATTATCAATGTAACTATCTAGAAGGAGTTTCGAATCAAAGATTACGCCCAGGTCCTTTATGTAATCTGTACGCTGTAATGACTGCATATTAATTTTATAGTTGAAGTGGAGGATATTTTGAGATCTACTGAAAGTAATACAATTACATTTAGATATATTAAGGTCGAGTTTATTTGCAAGACAATAGTCCTGTAGCCTAACGAGATCCTGTTGCATAAGTACACAATCGTGAAATGAGCCAATCTTTCTGAAAATTTTCATGTCATCTGCAAATTTCATAATTATTATGGAATTTGTCCCATATACTAATTTTAAAAGACGAGGAGCTCTATAACCATGTAATCACGCAGGAAGAGTAAATATTTAAACAATGTTCACCAAAATATACAAGGCTATTCTTGTACAATTCAGCTTATCTTTGAATGCCAGGAGCCCATAAATATTAGCATATTACGGGTTACAGAACAGAGACTCACAAATTACATGAGCATGAAACTGAGACAGATCTGGGATTTATTCAATTTGAATCAGCTAATAATCATATCATAAATAAATCATAATACATAAGTAAATCTGTGAGTGCTATTTGACATTACTTTCTTTTGTATAATATAAATTTTCTTTGCAATATAGATATTCGTTTCACTCCCAAAAATATGTTAAAAAGAAAATCAAAACAACTCGGTGGCACGTGGATATTTAATACCCCATCTCCAACCTCTGAGCCGCAGACTGGCCGACAGGAGCGGCCACCTACATACATATCTCGCAGTGAGTAATTGTTGCATTCCTGAATAATGTGTGGTCCCACCGACCTAAACTCCTTCCGAAGCGACGTCCCCATATCTATCTGTTTTACTTTCGTATTTCAACTTGTGTACCGACACACACATTTGGTTGAGTCGTTATTGTCCACGATACAGCTTAAGTTACACTTGCAGCAATAATGTCAAATTGACATTAGAGTTATGACATTTTCAATCGAGATTTAGCAAAGTTGCTGCTAGTGGGCCTTTAGCGTTATAGTACACATATCAACTCGGAAAGGGATCGATACAGACTCGCCTTTCAGCTTTCCATCAAACAGGCGTCCACCTAACGTAAGCGGATAGTACTTACGGATCGGCTATGGCTAGGCGACAGCGCGCTTACGGCTCGCCGACCGCTGGTTGACGGCTAGGTGGAACCAGTTCGATTAGTCATAGACAAAGTATCCACTCTGTTTTAAGACTCGGTTCTTGACTGACGAACTTCCTCTTAAAACGGATTACTCAAATTCTCTATGGACAGCACGTTCAGCAACGCAGGCCGAGGGAGGCAGGGAGCGTGGACCAATAGACGTGGGCTAGGATACGGAGAGTAGACCACGCACGTTCGGGAGCTTATCCCGAGCCGAGACTAGACAATTGCGTTACGATTCCGATCAGTGTGCGTTGCAGTAGGGAGTTTAATACTCGTACGTAGAAAACTGAACGACTCCAGATGATATCCCTATGGTGATGATCCCTATTTCTTTTTATCTGCTACGCCCAAATTGGTAAATTACTATCCTTTAGCTTTCTTAGAGTTTTGAGGGCATTTTAGGGCAAGGTTAAGTAGCGTATTCAGTTCATCATGAAATACATTCAGTATTACATGATGAGCTTGTAATTCAAGTGAATCATAAATATTTATTTACAAAACTCTCCCAGTTTAGCAATTAGTGGGTGCAGCCAGGGAATTTACTCGGGTGTTAATAAAAAATGCAGTGGCGGAGTCAGCGTGTGATGGATGTGATGGGTTGAGGCTTTCTTGTACCTCCATCTCCCAAACCTGCCTCAAAACTGTTGAAAAGCAGACTTCAAAGACTCATTGTTTGCGGTTAACAGTTATTTCTGTAATCGTACGTGAACTCTCCTAACACCTATTCAAAAGATTGATGATTTGGATGTTGGTCGCATCCGAGCAAGTCATGGCCGATTGTTAAAATTGTTTTCTACTGCCCTAGACGTTTGAACCTGTATAATGGGTTTAGGTATATTGGGAGTACTTCACAGGGTGCAAGGTTGCCCCAATTGATATAATAATGTTTGTGGCCAACGAAAATCCATCGTCCAACGATCAGTCTTAAAACCTGTTATTTTTCAGTGACGGGCTGGCGACCTATTATTATCGTAAATATTACAACAAGCAAGGGTCACGCAATGGAGCGACAATTATACATAAACTAGAGGCCCGCCCTCGCTTCGCTTCGGTGTAGACTACAGTTTTGTTCTCAGGCTTGTATCATACACAATGACATTCATCTATGATTCTTCTTATACCTGCATGCAGTCTCAGCCCGATCGGTTTTAAATTGACAAAGTTTCATACAAACTTTCATTCCCTCTTTTATCCCTTTGGGGGTAGAATTGATCAAAATCCTTTCTTAGCGGATGCCTACGTCATAACATCTACCTGCATGCCAAATTTCAGCCCGATCCGTCCAGTGGTTTGGGCTGTGCGTTGATAGATCACTATGACAGTCAGTCAGTCACCTTTGAGTTTTATATATATATAGATATATAATAATGATCTAATTATGCCTTTCGTTGCTAATCAGAACTACGTCATGAACAAAATATCACTATGTAATTACATTTTCATTCACTGTAAATACAAACCACAAAGCTCAAAGAATTTAAAAGGTTACTTTATACCAAAGCGGAACAGAGAAGGTTTTTGTCATCTACTAAGAAAATTCCATTCAGTCCGCAACGTTGCGAGTTTTAAGAGAGGTAGGGCATAGCGGGTTTTCCGCTCAAATTGGAGCGCCCGTCTGGGGAAGTAACCTCCACTTTACAGAATACCACAGTAAAATAACACTACCTTTTGGCAGTGGCGGACTAAGCCGGCCCAGAGGCCCGGGGCGGCAAAGCAGATTGAGCCCCCTAGCTTTAAAAAAAATTGTTTACTATGTTTATTTCGTTAAATCTGGCAAGTGAAATTTAAATTATAATTAAATTATTTCGGCAAAATAAACATACATACCTACAATATGGAATGGATATGGGTAGGAAAATCAAATACGAATCATCGACACAAAAAAAATACTAAAATAAATCAAAGATAGATTTTTTTATTTTTGGTAGCGTTTATATGTGTTTTCGTGCCTTCAATTTACTGAACTCTGGCCGCGGTAGCATAATTGATCAGTGCTTTCGTCCGGATTGCGAAGGGTGCGGGTTCGAGTCCCGTCTGCTGCCTGGTCCGCATGGAATTTATTCAAGTTATATTTTCTTAACATTTTTAAAGTTATGTTTAGGTTTTGATCAGGGGAATTCGGAGACATTTGGGGCCCCCCAAGATCAGAGGCCCGGGGCGGGCCGCCCCTTCCGCCCCCCTGTTAGTCCGCCACTGCCTTTTGGCGGTGTTGTGTTTCTGACGCTGAGTAAGGTTCCTGGGCTCCACGGGGTAGGGGATTGGGTTAGGGTAGGCAATGACGCGAGCGATATGTTTTTTGTATAGCAAGCGTCTATAAGCTATGGTGGCCGATTACCATAAGGCGAGCCGTAAGGTTGTTTTCCACCCTTTTAACATAAAAAAAAATTCGTGTGGCACTCGGGGACTGCCGCGGTAAAGCTATTGCATAGCATTATTTGTCAACTTATGCAATAATAATTATTTATTTATTTTATTTATGCAGTATTTTTTTTTCTTTGATATTAATAGATGGCGAGGCAGGCCTTATGATATTTTATTGGGCAAGCACAGCAAACAACAACATTGCCCGGCGCCAAAAAACTTCCACAAGCTAGACAGTTTACCATCTTTAGTCCAAAAATTTAAGTCTAAATAAAAGGGAGACAAATACACACATCAAAAGTGTCTAGGGATCAACATATATTTTTGCAATAACTTTTCTCCTGATTGATATTAATTAAAA